TTTCTGGATCCGGAAGATGACTGTAGGTGTAATAGCCTTGGTTTGGCCTGGGGGCAGCACAGAAGTTAGCATACGTTTGATCGTTTGCGGCAGCTCTGCCTTCGGTAGCCCCTCCGGGATCCCCCTAACCTTTAAGTTGAGTCTCTGTCTCGTGTCCTCCTGGACCGCGAACCGCCTTTCAAACAGCATGTTTTGGTGGTGCAGGTCTTGTATTTCCCTCTGCAGCGAGGTTGTATTCTGCTGTTGTTCTTTGGAGGAGTCCTCCAGCTTTGTTATGCGGCCTGTTAGGCCTTTCAGCTCTCCCCTGAGTGTGGTGATGTCAGGGTCTTACCTGAGTTGGGAGTCTGTAGCGCAGATATGATGCTCACCCTTGCAGATAGCCACAGGCCGAGGTGGTCAGGTAAGAATTCACCTGGCCTGTGGGTCTGTGCACGGGGGCTGTGCAGGATGCAGTACCAATACGCAGGACAGGCAAGGACTGAACCAGCAGGATGGTCGAGGGATAGCCGAGGTCAAAGGATGCCAGAGGACAGGAACAACGAGGAGTAGCCGAAGTCAAGGGATGCCAGAAGTCAGAATAAACGAGTCAGGAAGCCGGGGTCAATAATGCGAAGCGATGAAACAGGAACACTAGAACAAACAGGATCAAAGACTTGACACTGAGCACAGGGCGAGGCTGGGTTTATATACCCTGCTGATGACTGATCAGAGTCAGGTGAAACACAGCCAAGTCAAGGTGCAGCCCCCAGAGTAGTAGCCATGTCAGGATGAACAGGACTGGAATCAGTCTTCACTGTAAATAGCTGCTGTGGCTCAGAGGTAGAAAGCAGGACCAGGGCTGAGAAGATCCCCGGTTCAAGTCCCCTGTTGGGAACTCCAAGAGCGACCACGTCTTGCCGTCTGTCTATCAGGTGAGAACCGTGACAGGTGACATCTGAGAGGATGTTCTTCTGTAGTTCCGCTAGCATGTATGTGTCATGATATTTAACACTCCGGTAGTTACTAGGTCGGGGAGATAGTCCTCTTCGTCTCCTCCTGTGCCGTCATCCGAGAAATCAGAGCAGCCTCCGTGGAGCGCTGCCATATTGACTCCGCTCTGGCCTCGTGCCTGCTGCCACATTTCTCCTATCGTGAGCCCTGGGGCTGCTTTGTCCGGCATCAGCTTTTTATGCTTGCGTCCCATGGGGCTTGGGAAAGTTCTCCTTGCGGTACAGCGGTTAGTGGGGGTAGTATCGGTTTCTATTACGGAGTTCCGGGATTGAGCCAGTTCTCAACTGGTTTACTGCCCTGCCTCTCAGATATATTTATTTTTAACATGATGCTTGCTGGCAAACGTGGCCATCATTAAAATGACAGGTGAGTATATGTTCTTGTCACCACACACTCTTACACTGACACACTAATCCTCTGACACACACACACCCTGACAGCTACACACTCTAATATCATGACACATACATACACTCGTACCCTGACAGCTACACACATTAAAACCATGACACATACATACACTTGTACCCTGACAGCTACACACATTAATATCATGACACTTACATACACTCGTACCTTGACAGCTACACACATTAATATCATGACACAAACATATACTCATACCCTGACAGCTACACACAATATCATGACACATAAATACACTCATACCCTGACAGCTACACACATTAATATCATGACGCTTACATACACTCGTACCTTGACAGCTACACACATTAATATCATGACACCTACATACACTCGTACCTTGACAGCTACACACATTAATATCATGACACATAAATACACTCGTACCTTGACAGCTACACACATTAATATCATGACACACACATACACTCGTACCCTGATAGCTACACACATTAATATCAAGATGCTTACATACACTCGTACCTTGACAGCTATACACATTAATATCATGACACCTACATACACTCGTACCTTGACAGCTTCACACATTAATATCATGACACATACATACACTCGTACCCTGACAGCTACACACATTAATATCATGACACTTACATACACTACATACCCTGACAGCTACACACATTAATATCATGACACACACATACACTCGTACCCTGATAGCTACACACATTAATATCATGACGCTTACATACACTCGTACCTTGACAGCTACACACATTAATATCATGACACCTACATACACTCGTACCTTGACAGCTTCACACATTAATATCATGACACATACATACACTCGTACCCTGACAGCTACACACATTAATATCATGACACCTACATACACTCGTACCTTGACAGCTTCACACATTAATATCATGACACATACATACACTACATACCCTGACAGCTACACACATTAATATTATGACACTTACATACACTCGTACCTTCACAGCTACACACATTAATATCATGACACATACATACACTACGTACCCTGACAGCTACAAACATTAATGTCATGATACATACATACACTCGTACCCCGACAGCTACACACATTAATATCATGACATTTACATACACTCGTACCCTGACAGCTACACACATTAATATCATGACATTTACATACACTCGTACCCTGACAGCTACACACAGTAATATCATGACACATACATACACTCGTACCCTGACAGCTACACACATTAATATCATGACACATACACTCGTACCTTGACAGCTACCCACATTAATTTCATGACACATACATACACTACGTACCCCGACAGCTACACACATTAATATCATGACACCTACATACACTTCTACCTTGACAGCTACACACATTAATATCATGACACATATACATACTCGTACCTTGACAGCTACACACATTAATATCATGACACCTACATACACTCGTACCCCGACACATACACATTAATACCATGACACTTACATACTGTCATACTCTGACAGCTACGTGCACAATCATTAGATGTAAGAGCTACTAGAACCATGATTAGCAGGAATGTTTCAGAATACACAACAATCAACAAGAAGACAGAACTTTGAGTGTTACCTTTCTTATTTAAATTAGCCAAATGAAAAAAATAATATATGAATGATTTAGAAAGTTTGTCAAGTAGTAGATTGTAGCAAGCACTTTGGTTCGTATTTCTTCGCACTTCGTATTTATTATAGTTATTGTCATTCATTTTGTTACGTTTCTTTTCTTTGCAAAGAATGACACATTTAGACTGATCATTTGCTATTGTTCTATCACACAGCACACAGGCCTTGAACTGCGCTGAATGAAGTGTGCGTTACACTGTTTTATTTAAAGAAACAATTCAAGCACTATAACCACTACATCCCACTGCTCCTGACGCCATCTTGTGGTAAATAGTCAAACTTTTTTTAGTATAGTTTGACAACTTAATTGAATCCCCCAGGCACTCGCAACTGCATCACTTTCATCTGGACCTCAGGAGAATCTGGAGAGATTCTATAGAGACATCTGGATTCTCTTGCACAAGAACACAACACGGTACGGATGCTCAGATATGTTGTCAACCCGTACTAAAACAGATTGGCTATTCGCTATGGGACGGCGTCAGGGCACTCCTGACACCATAACAACTAAAGCGGGCTTTCGTGGTTATTAATATCGAATCAAGGGATTTATAGAAAGATGCACTGCTTCCACCTTGTGGTGATATAAAACATTGCATCCACTCACACCTTTGTAGAGTGACATATTGACAGAGCAGTAAACTTTATTATCCTGACCAACCAGAGGCAACATTAACTGACGGGCTAGCTCCTACCTTCACAGCAGAAAGAACAGGAAACAGAACTTTAAATTGAATGTAACTGGAACAGCCCCAGGTTTATATATCTATATATTCAGGTTACAGGTTCAGTAAACTGGAATTGATTAAGGAGATTGTTTTTAGAATAGAATTAATTTTTCTAAAGGGTAATGGTTGGGATTGAGAGCATATCTTAATTGTGCTATCCTTATGGCATTTTATTCCAGACTGATTGTATGGATCTGCTGCGTGAACTCCCTTACTGGAGATCGGATTCTTTATTCTGCTATTTCACACCTTGGGGACCTTGTGATTGGGCTACCCCTTTATTCATGTAAGGAATGGCATGGCCTTAGTTCTTAAGTGGGTTAAAAAGCAGAATTTCTCAGTGGTTGTCCTGATGTAGGTTTTCTCAATGTTTTGCTTAATATTGGAACATGATCACTGTATTGCAGCAATAAAGGTTGCTGTTCTAGGAACACATTCACCATGTAATATTGATGCTGCTTGTGACTGAATGTTGCAGGTGATTTAGTTGTCAGTGGAAGGTCTCTTCAGTTGTCAGGCCCTCTAGTACATACAGCTATACAGATAAGCAATATTACACAATAGAACAACTACAGCTTATTGTATTTGTTCTGGTGAGTGTAAGCATTCCCTTCAGGATTTTTGCAGTAAACACTGTTTTTTTCAGAGAAAATGCAGTGTTTACATTACAGCCTAGGGATACCTCCACTGGCCACTCCTTAAATGGCTGCTAGAGGTGCTTCCTGGGACAGTGCTGCACAGTATACACTACTGCCATTCAGTGTCTCCACCCCCTGCATGGAGACACTGAACGTTCCTCTAAGAGATGCATTGATTCATTTAATCTCTATGAGGAGATGCTGATTGGCCAGGGCTGTGTTTGACTTGTGCTGGCTCTGCCCCTGATCTGCCTCATTGACAAGCTCAGCCAATCCTATAGAAAAGCATTGTGATTGGCTCAGAGAATCACTTCTGCTGATGTCAGCCAATGGGTTTTTCTCAAGCTAACACCACAAAAGAAAATGTGTCCCAAGTATTGATTGATTTAAAGGCAGTGTTTTCAATCAATACTTGTGACACAGCAATCAAACAATCCATAAAATTATAATAATTAGGGGCGTGGCCGGACCGGGCATGGAGAAGGAAGTGTGAAGACTGCGCTCCTCTTCCCTCGACCATTAAACAGCAAAAAAGCGCAACTCACCAGCCACTAAGCCCGACGGAATGGTCCGCAATAAGAAGCTCCTCACCCAAGGAGGCCCTCCACACTGCCAAACCGGCACGATGGACGACTTCGTGTCCACACCGGGCACCCTCGGTGGCTCCGGGCCGGCAGACAATATGGCGCTTGGATCCCCAGACCTGGAAAGCGCGGGAAGCTCCACAGCAGATGGCGTCTGGGAAGACACCCTGGCGCTGATCCGACAGGAGCTGGCTGCTATCTCAGGGCAAAAGAAGACAGACACCAGCAGCCTCATACAAGACCTCCGGACAGCAGTCCGTAAGGAGATTGCGGCCCTGTGCACAGATCTCTCAGCGGTTGAAGAACGCGTGGAGGCCCTTGAAACTGAAGCCCAGACGAGCCGCAGACAACACCAGGCGGTGGAAATAGCTACAACCCGACAAAGAAACCTGCTCCTGTCCCTCCGGCACCAGGTCGAGGACCTGGAATACCGCAGCAGACGACACAACATCCGCATACGTGGCCTGCCAGAGCCGGATGCAACCCCCGTGCCCGACACGATCACAGCCCTTTTCCAAGAGATTCTGGGCCGAGACTGCCCACCAGAAATCCAGTTTGACCGGGTCCATAGGGCACTGGGACCGCCAAGGCCAGACGACTGATCCCGGGATGTCCTATGCTGCCTTCATGCTTACAGTCTCAAGGAAAAGCTGATGGTGGCGGCAAGGGGCTCCGACGGCTTCCAGTTCAGGGGCTCAAAGGTAGCGCTATGCCAGGACCTGTCCAGCCTCACCCTTGATGCCAGACACGCCCTCAGGTCCCTGACCACGACCCTGCGAGATAGAGAGATCGCCTACCGATGGGGGTTTCCAGGTGAGACACGGGAATAACTGGCTCCACATACTCTGACCCAACAACGTCCCACCAAACGTAGCCTCAGGGGTAGCTTAAATTATATGACATAAGAATAGCGCATCATGCACCAGGAAGATCAGCCCCAACCCAGCCACTCCGGTGCACCTGAAACGCCGAACCCCCTCATCAGTAACATAAAGCCCCCAGCATAGTGAATACACCCTCATGTAGAAGCCCTATCACAGATGCGCCATGATACACACATTATTTCATACTCTTCAAGCATAGCTTCGGGGGGAGCAGATAGGGGAGGGCACCTGCCGGGGGAGGTAGAGGACATAAGCCGCCACATGAACACTGAGTGGGCGGGGGAGGGGAGTCCGGGTGGGATGCGGGGGTAGGGGTCAGTCCCCACAAAGTACACAAGCAGAGACCCCACACCTGAGACCACACACCTGTCACACATGGCCTGATGACCATGGGGGGGGAGGAGGGCCAACAGAACCCGGTCATGACCCTGAAGAACTAGCAGACTGACAACACCTACTGGCTGGGGGGAGGGAACGGTCAGGATAGGAGGACGACAGTAAGAACACACTGTCACGCCGGCTCCTTGCCCCGACCTGTGCTTCGGGACGCGCATTAACCCGTAGACGGACTGTGGGGGAACCTAGGTAGGGGTGTAGACGAGGGGACTATTTAATAGAACAGGGTGCTCCCCACAGACTCGCCCCCCTAGACAGTCAAGTCTGATACTGTACATAGTTCTTAAGTTTTCCTTTCATACTTACCGAGACAACAAGATTTGACACCAACGCTCATCGACCACAACTAAGAGACTCGCCTCCCCACACCCTAAACCTCTCACCTCACACCCTGCACCCCACCTCCCCCTCCCACAACCGCCGCTGCGCCTCTGGTCTAACAACGTCAGGTCACATCTGCTGCGATTCTTGTGGGCAGCCAGGGCCTCGGTGGCCTTCCTACAGGAGACTCATTTCCGTGGATCGACTGGCCCCACGCTTTGCGATCAGAGGTTCCCACTGGGATATTTCACAAACCACAGGGATGCCAAGATAGCCGGAGTGGCCATCCTATTCGCCAGCCACATACCCTTCATCTGCACAGATGAAAAGACAGTCCCGCTGGGACGATACCTGTTCCTCAAGGGCACCATCGCAGATAAGAGTTACACAAGCAACATAGCTTCATCTCCAAAACCCTAAGACTACTGGAACAATTTATAGACGGGCTATTAGTCCTAGCAGGGGACCCTTAACACACCCATGGACCCACGGGTGGACACGTCCAAAGGCCAATGCTCACTATCCCCAACAAGTCTCAAAGCCACACAGGCGGCACTTAGAGATGCAGGCCTTGCGGATACCTGGCGAGTCCTGCACCCAGAAGGCAGAGACTTCACTTGCTACTCCCCGGTCCACGGTGGATACAGCCGACTCGACTACATTCTCCTATCACAAGAATATCTCCCCCTCCTACAAAACAGCAACATTCTCCCCACCACATGGTCAGACCACGCACCCATGCTCACCCTCCTGACCTCACCCCTGCATAAGCCCGGAGGCAGGCAATGGAAACTGAACGAGCGACTCCTAATCGACCAGTTGGCTTTGGAGGAGACCAGGACAGTCCTACGTAACTTCTTTGAAGATAAGACGACCGACGAGACACCACAGCTAACCAGATGGGAAGCCCATAAGTGCGTAGTCAGAGGACACTTCATCAAGATCTGCAAAGCATGGAAGAAGGCCCAGAGCGGGCAAATAATAGAGCTACATAAGAAAATCGCCCAATTGGAGATGGAACACAAGACAACACACTCAGAAGTCGCATACAGAGTGCTATTGGAGACCCGCAGGACACTGCAATAACTACTATCGCAGAAGCTAGCGCACACGCTCCGCAAATCCAATCAACATTTTTATGAATACTCCAACAAATGCAGCTGCTTGCTGGCAAAGATGTTGCAACAAAAGAGACGGAGATGCCAAATCACCAAGATCAAAACACACAGGTTTCCCCTCACCCAGATCCCTGACCAGATTGCCGGAGAATTTAAGGAGTTCTACGCCAGGCTCTATAACATACCGACCGAAGCGACGACAACCGCGCAAAGTCGGAGACGTAACCAGATGCAGGAATACCTAGACCAGTTTGTGACCCGGACCCTCTCACAAGAACACAAGGAAGAGCTAGACGCCCCCATCACGATAGAGGAATTCACGTTGGCCCTGAAAAACACACATTTACACAAAGCGCCAGGCCCGGACAGCCCTTCCGGCCCGCTACATTAAAACCTTTGGGGATATCCTATTACCGGAGCTATTGAACGGCCTGAACTCGCTGCTGGAGGACGGCCGATTCCCTGGGGACACCTTACTGGCGACCATCGCAGTAATACCTAAAGAAAGGAAAGACCCAACGTCGTGCACCAGTTATAGGCCAATCTCTCTACTGAACGCCGACCTTAAACTATTTACTAAGATCCTGGCACAACGTATCGGCCGCCTGGCCGCCGGACCAGACGGGATTTATCCCCGGGAGAGAAGCAAAGGACAATACCATCAGGGCACTTAACATCATGCACCTCTTCCGAACAGCCCAGATAGGAAGACTGCTCCTCTCAACTGACGCTGAAAAGGCGTTTGACCGGGTGGACTGGCAGTACCTACAGGCCACTTTACAGGCAATGGGACTCGGACCTCAGATCCTTAAGTGGATCTCGGCAATTTACGCGGCTCCGAAAGCGCAACTATGAATAAACGGATTCCTAACCCTGGCGTTCGAGATATGAAACGGGACGTGCCAGGGATGCCCTCTGTCCCCCCTCCTGTTTGCCCTCTCCCTGGAGCCATTTCTGGAGGCGGTCAGACAGGATGAGGGCATAGAAGGGCCCCTTGAACCACTCCCCATGCTCCTTAATCACACGCGGACACCACTGTCGAGTTACAAGAAATCCCTGACGAGACACCTACTTAATGCCGCTAAAAGCTTAATCCCCGTTCAGTGGAAATCGAAAGACATCCCAACCGTGCCACAATGGACGGCGAGGATCGAACAGATCTTTGTCCGGCCAGGGCTCGGACAAGAGGCAGAGTAAGAACAGCAGGGCGCCTGGTGGAGGCAGCGCAGGACTCCCCCACCCCCCTCTTATACCTCCCTGCTAGCCTCCCTCTCCGCTCTTCCCTATACCCCCCCTATCGGCTGTACGCCGAATGACGGAACATACGGACACCGATCTAAACACTCACCTACGTAGACAAATATGGACGCCCGGACTTTGACACACTGACCCCACAGCCACTATGACCTGAGAGAATAGCCCATGAACACCCCCCAGACGCAAAGGGTAGAAACACGCACCAAGACATGAGCCACCAAGATGCAAGCAACTAGGCACACACATAAACGAAACGAACATCAGACGTGACTATACATATCAGGCCCTGACGTAGTAGGAACGCGGACGACATAGAGAAGGGCGAATATAGATGTGGACTGGGGAGACCCCACTCTGACCCACAAGAAGAAAAGGATGGAGACACATACAACCTGCGAGTTGGGGCACCACCACAGCCCACCAAACGGAGACGGGGTCACCAGAGATATACTCCATGCCAAACCCCCTGCTCCCCACAGCTAGCCCATCGATTAGACAACGACACAACCGCCTGAACCATTACGAAAGGGCTAAAGTGGGGATAGCGAGGGGACCAGCACGGTGCCACACTGAAAGGCGGATGGGACCAGGGTCCGCTGCTACCCCACACACGACCCAAGTAAGCCAGATCACTGACACCCGCCCTATTACCACCCGAGCATAACACTAATTATAAAGATCACCAACATTGGGGTGAACAAAGAAGACGAAACACCGGGTCAGGTCAAACTAACAGGGCATATAGCTGTCAGATAGACCCTGGGGCTTAGGTCCAGCCAGGACGAACAGCTGAAGCTAACCTAAAAACCCGTATAAGATCAACCAAAAGAATCGTAGGTCACATGAGCTATAGCCTCGGGGGTTACTGTTTAATTCATTGTAAGCTATGAACTTGCAACATTAATGTATCACTACTGGTTACTATCCCTGTTTAAATGTCAAAATTACAAAATAAAGAATGTAAAAAAAAAAAATTATAATAATTAAATAACAGAATAATAGTATACTCACTCTAATGAGACATCATACATGTGTGCTCCTGAGAGAACCGGACGTTAATCGGAAACAAAACTGCAAAGAGAGTTGCTCCAAAATCCCACCTCATTGCCAAAGCCTACAGGAAACGCAGAACAGGCTAGCCCAGGCCTAACACCGGCACGATGAGCCCATAACCTCTAAAGCCAAAAGCACCAAAAATGATTGCGTTTGAGATGCAACAATGGCGTGCTGATGTCAGCGGTAAATGCGTAATGACGTCAGATGTTCACAAGCGAACACGTCAATATTAGAAAAGGTGGGGGGTCCAGGGCTGCCAATCACCTAGAGGGCAGTGCAAGCAGGTATTCCAAATTTAAGGTGGTGCCACCAAGCATGCAAATTTAAAAAAACAAAGAAAATTTTATAAAAAGCAATCAATAATAATTTATGGAAAAATAATTAAAACATAAAGAATATAAAAATAAAGCACACATCATAATGTATATAGGCAGTTCATACAAAATTGCAATATTGAGTCGCAAAGTGAACAAGTGCTATAAATTAAAGTGTCAGTGTGTGAGACGCCCTTAAAAGAGCATATTAAAGTGGCAGTGCATATAATTAATTTTTATAGACGAGAAAGATGTGAAAAATTATTACTCGAGGGACACTATTGTGTTTAAAAATGAACTCTTATGATAAAAATAGTGCCAAAACAAACAAAAACATAATTATTCAAAAGAAATCAAATCTACGTGAAAGAATACCCGCAGGAGCAGGAAGCTTGTAAAAGAGGTTGTAACACCAGCACCAATGATTGAAGAAAATCTTTTGAAAGGACTGATTTATGCTCGTTAATTGTTACACCTTCTTTTACAAGCTCTCTTCTCCTGTGGGTAGTTTTTATTTATTTTGAGTAATTATATTTTTTTATTATTTGTTTTGCACTATTTTGACCATATGAGTTTATCTCTTAAGTAATAATTTTTCATGTCTTTATTTTCTATTAAAATTAATGGTGGCATCCCTCCCCAGCGGCCATTTGAGTTCCAGATAGAGGGTGCTGGAGACACCTCTTCCCAGCAACAGATTGGACTCCATTGTGAGGAAGCAGTTGGCCCCTCTCCAAGTGGCTGATGGAGTTTCCAGGAGATGGTAGTGCTCACACTTCTCCCCAGCATCATATGTCCACTACAGGCGATGATAAAATGGGCTGGGTAACTGGTTCATCTCCAAATGTTGTTATGGCAATTGCCTTGACACGATCTCCACCAGTGTAATCCCAAGATGCTACGCAGTTGGCCTAGATCCCAACTCCTTGTTTTAGAGATACCGGCCACCAGTATTCTCTCTAGCGGCTGATAGGACTTAAGGGAGAAGGTGTAGTTGGCACTCCTTCCTAGCCGGAGTTGACGAGGTTGGCTGGGTAAGTGGCTCTGTTCCAACTGTACTCTATCCTGAAAAGATTTGGTCTTGGTATTAACAAAAAAAAGTACTGACTAAACTGGGAGTCACCCCGTTCAGAGTCTTTCACCAGGTTATTCTCCATGGGAAGGGGGAGATATGTGATGGTAGTGACCATCACAAGGAGCATATAGTTTAGAGCCGCAAGTGCCTTTGTAAAGACAGTAGTTGGAAGCAGTGCAGGCAGATTATTGGATACCTGCCTGGGACAAGGAGGCACAGGCCGAGAGGTTGATACCTGCCTAGGAGAAGAAGGCACAGTCAGAGGGTACAATACCCACCTGAAAGGAGAGAGGTTTCCAGAGACCCTAGTTCAGCTTTGGCGACTGGGTCTAGAGCATTCCAGTGTCCTTTGGTAGTATTGAGGATGCTGACCTAACGGAAGTACTTAGCCTGATTTCATGCACCATTGAATAAAACATTATAAATCATCTATAAAAAAAGAGTTTATAACCGTGATTAACATGTAGCTAACATGGAGGCATTCCGTTCTAGAATAGAGGAAAATACAGCACAGTGGGTTTCTATATTTAATTTTGATAAATATTAAGGATAAGTAAATATTATTTTAAAAATCCTGGAAAGTGTCCTTAAATGTGTTGCAAGATGTTGGCAAAAGTAGATTGTCAGACATTGGATCAAATGTCTTTGCTCACAGCTCTTGTTCTAGATCTCAGCGTTCTCTTCCCTGTTGTTGTCGTTACATTATTGTGGATGGTTTTGTCTGATGAAATACAATTATTGTTTCATTCACAGTGAAGTTTTAGAGTTCTACACTCTGAGCAGACCTTGCTTAAAGCCCCCCAATGGCTTTTATTTCATCATCCTTCAAAACCTAAAAAAGCAAGAAAATACAGTCTTAATTGTTTCATTCCTAATGTCTCTTATTCCTGGGCTCTATTTTTGGGTCGCATAAGAAAGAATCCTTTGTAGTTTAAGGTTCCCAAAGCAGTGAATTGGAGTTGAGTCGAAAGAGGTTGTTGGAGTGTTACGGTATTTTCCTGTTGGATGTCTTTCAGGACCCAGAACACAAGGGGCATTTTTTAAAACAACTCAGTAGTTTTAAGACACATTTGATTAATTTCTCCCTGTGAAGCTGGCATTGACAACACATGCCTTTAGATAACGGTGCAGGATTTAGGAATTACCTAATTCTGCTTAAATCAAGATGGTGATATAACCATGATCTGTTGGAGAATCACAGCACTCATCCTGAAACACCCTTTACGCTATTCATTATAAATACCATTAATGGGTGATAAATGAACACTGACTTACCAGTTGCAACTCACTATTTTTTTCTTTTATAAATAGTGTAGTGTTTGAAAACAGGGACATGGGTATTGAGATAGCCTTTTTATAAGCAGTAACATATCAATCTCTAATACAGGTAACTGGAAATGTATTTTTTACCAATATCTTGCACGTAAGGAATCAGAATTTGTACAGAAACGTCCAGTTTCTATGTTAAATTGGAAAGGCAATCTGTCACACTTGATAAATGATCAATTCCCTAATCATCCAGGTGGGGGGGCTAGAGTATCATCATCCTGAAGAGCACTCTACATTTATACATTTAAACTCAATAAATCAAATAATATCTGGAGACACACGGCCATTCTAAAATGATAAAAATATTAACGGAATCAATATATTCTGCAGTACTGCACGGCACACACACAGAACATACAAACTCACATTACGTTGTGAAAAACTATTTCAGCAAACACAAACAAGAGGCTGTAGATAAATGGAGATGATTCACCCTGCAATTTATTTTTTCGTAATGTACTGGAGACTGTAAAATGACTGATCAGGTGATGTAGAGCGTTAGTCTATAGGAACTTCTATACTGTCTGATACAAGCTTCCCCTGCATCAAGTTTAATAGCAACTGATAGAAAGTCCTAAATAATGACCATTGTTATTTAAAAAAAAAAATAGTTGTTTTAATCCTTCACCCTATAGAATAACCTCAGGAATTGACATTTTCTTGTGATGTGTGTCTCTGACTGTCTGAGCAGCTGGTCGTAGTGAGTCACTGAAAACAGCTGTCTAGCCTCTCTGTCTTTATGGTAACCCTCTCAGTCCTAGAGCTCTCTCTCTCTCTCGTTGGGACTGCAAAGCCAATGCATGAACTTAGAGAACGCAGCAGCGGCTAGAACGTTTGCAAGATTTAGGAGGGAAGCCTCTTCAAACCATGTGAATGTTATATGCCTAGTGCATCTGGTTGTCTGTTTCCTGTGGCCTTGATGGGGTTAAACAAACAGGCTGCGGAAAAAAGAACCTTGGTGATATCATCAGTACATCTCAGTAATGGCAAAATCCGGAGTTTGTTCTGGATGTTATCAAAATGTTTTATTTGCTCTCAAAATGGAAAACAGGAGTGTTAACTCTTCACCATCCTGAATCGAAGGGCCCTGTTAATTTGTGGCATTACCATGGCCTTTACATCAGTATTCAGCGATGCTTTTATCAAACCGAGCGTTGCTGAACCACTTTTCATTTTCATGTCTGGTCTCAATGGTACGCTAATATCTTAATGAAAGGCTAAATTATACAGCAGCTATTACACATGTTTAGATCAGACAGTAATGATCGAACAGATTAAGCAACAATGCACACACAAAAATACAGTATTACATTTTATAAGGCTACTTATCACTTATCTTAGGAAGCAAATATGGGGATTCAGTACCACCATTTGGCCATATCGTATTAAACCCACCACTATGACACAGTGCGCTGTTTCTTAATCTGTATTCTGTATAACTTTTGGTCCCTACGGCAGCCCCATTGCTGAGAAATGCATGTTTTGTGTGTGCCCCCAATTCCTCCTTTATTTCCTCTGTGTATGTTTGGAGACCCCACACCAAATTCCTTTTGGGTTGAGCACCCTGCCCTGCACCCCAGCTTCAGATGCCTCTTCGGAGGTGACCACAGGAAGGTATAAATTTGAGGAGGTTTTTAATGGTAATGTCGCTTTAATGATAATTTTTATTTGATATAGAGCAGATATATAATATGCATTGTGAGTATATGCATCAAAGCACCATCACTTTTGACACTTCATTTTTTTATTTGTTTTTGTTTAAATCATATTTATTTAGCATTATATATTCTCACAATGCACTTACAACAGATTAATTAAATACACCTTAATTCATTTAGCACAAGCATTATTTATATGTCTCCCACTTTAAAAAGACCCACCGATATTGGGGTACTGTGGAGTAGTGGTGGGCTTAATAAGCGATGGCCCTCTTGTGGAACTGAATCCCCATATTTGTTTACGGAGATAGATGTTTTTAAGTAGCCCTATAAAATGTAAAACTGTAGTTTTGTGTGTGCACTTTTACCTAATCTGTATTTAGTAATGATCTAACAGAACATTTGCTTGAAGAGTTTTGCAGATCTTTTAGAAAATAACAGATGTTGATAGATGGATTGCAGACTTTTCTGAGATTGACCTTTTCTCCCAGATCTCTCCTCGTCCTTAATTACTGTACCCCTTTAAGCGATAAGCTTAAAGTATTTCTAAGCATTTTAGCCGTAAAATGCTTAAACATATATTTTTAAATTAGCGTAACCATTTTAAAGTCAATACATTTTTATTTTTTTTTACGTACTTTCTTCCTCTGTCAAATCTTAAGTATGATAAATGATGGCGATTAAACTTGTCTGTATGATTACATAAGAGATGCTCTTTTTTCTCTGTTTTTCAGAAATCTGATTTTGTCATTGAACATACACATTAATATAGATAGATTTTTTTTTCTTTCAGATTTTTTTTATTGTTTTAAATAATAATAATAAAAATAACAATTCTACATTTTTGCCAACATTTTTATGGTCTGTGTATGGATTTTTTTTCGATCAGTCCATTTTAGTTATTGCAGACAAGATTGGCTGATGTTTATAATTGGATAGACGCGTCGGGTCGAACTTTGGGTGTTTATGATAGGCTGAGAGCCCTGGGGTAACACACCTCCAGTGCTTTCAGCCTTAATAAAAAGTAACGTTTTTCATCTAATTCAATAGCATCGTAAAAATAAAATGTGGCAATAAAAAAATAATAATTTGTGCAATAAAATAATTCACCAAGTCAACATAGTCATGAGCAAAAATGAATTAAAGCACAAAACAAATTGTTACTTAAATACGGAAACTCTCAAGGTATCTTATTCATTTAAGTGGCGGTAATTGCAAGTGAAATAATGAAGATGTATTACTTATCGTATGTGTTTGTAATCCTAGCTTGGAATATAAATGACTTATTTCCTTTGGTGAAACATCGTTTGTTTTCCGCAGTGATTCCTTCATACGGTGCCTCACTGCATTCAAAACACATTACCGAATCTATAAATATATCCTGATGCTTGGACACTGACAGAAATCAGCGCTCTTTTTAGCAATGAATGCGTTAAATCACACTATGGACCATGGCATATTTTAACTCTTAAGTTGCCTTCCCCACCGAACAATAAAAAGAGGCAGGTGGCAATTGTAATGATTTTTGTCGATGGATATGCCTGTATCACATCAAAATACAAGGGTCCGGAGGCGGGTATGTGACCTTGAACAGAGTAGTCTCTGTGTAATGGGCACAGCTGCAGAACCCCCAACCCCCACCGTCTCAGCTTGTGCCCCCCCCCCTCTTTTTTTCTTTCTCCCCCTGTAATTCCCCCTCCCACCCCACAGAGTGGACTAAAGTTTCAGTTTACTTCTAACACTTGTGCTGTCAGTCATTCTAGGAGAGGGACTGGGTGACACAGTCAGCCACTAACACAGACCCTCATCAAGTCCCGGAGAGACCCTCGTCCAGCCAGGATGGAGATCAGAATATCACTCACCATGTGCTTCCTGGTGCCCTTATTGTGCCAGGTAAGGAGACCAAATTAATTGGCAGTCTCTCATGCCAGCTTTAACTCTCACTTTTTATTGACTTCTTCCTGTATTCTTTAGCATCAGTGTAAATCTGACTGTCTGCTTTAAGTTGCAATATGATGAACACTGTATAGGAGGGACATTTCTATGTTCATCTTCTTTTAAAGTAAAGTGTTTTACGAATAATATATATAAATATTTCTATAGCCAACATATAACATGTTTCTTGTCAGCATCCGATAGAATTGACTGTAAATGCCTTTTCTCTGAAACTTTCAAATTCCCAGGGTGAACTAAAATTCCATAATAATAGCCGTGTCCTGGGTCCAAGTTCTGTCCAAGTAAGATGGAGAATTGACTAGATCATTAAAGAAAGGACAATTGGGAGGGGAAGCAATTTCAGCATAGTCTATTAATTTCTCTATTTCTTAATTTTCCAAATGAAAAAGTTCAGTTAATATAACCTAATGTGAAGGAACATGGGGGGGGGTGCGGTTGGATGGGGCAGAGGGGAAAGGGCTTATGGTTAGTTTAATTAAAGTATATCATTTTTTATTTACTATAGATAAGACCCAATTGGTTTATACAGATTGTCAATTCCTTATGTAAATGACCTTAATGGTAATGCTCTTTTTTGCTGTTAAAAATAGCTGTCGGTCTCTCCCAGAAATTCTTGAACACCCCCATATTTTTAGCTCTCCCACCACCTCTACTGGAAAGCTATTCCTTGCATGCACTGCAATTTGGCCATTAGACACTCCTTGTTTCTGCACCAACTTTTCCCACGCTCTAGATTAAGAGCGTAGCTATTCAAGTTATCCTCTGCCAGCAGAAAATATTTGGTTTAATGCCTTGGTATGTTTATTTTCTTGTGAAGATAATTTCTCGTGAAATGGGTGAATTATTCTTAGAAGTGTCCTAATGCTTATTGAATGTACCCTACCCACATTCCATCTCTTAAACTGCATGGAGTCAGGGTTGTTCTCCAAATCAAACTTAACTTAAGGGAAAATTTTAGACCAAACTAACCAAACTGAAAAATAACAATGCTGTTGGAGAATTTTTCTAATTTGCCTGATTTTGCTTAGAATTTAAAAATGTTTGGTCCGTTCCCAGTTTGTTACCTGTTTTCAGTACAAGCACATAATAGTGCATGCTGAGTATTCCTGTATCTCACTGTGATGTATTTAGATATATAATTTAAAACCAAAGGGAAAACACAGGACAATGAGAGTCTAGTGCCAAGTCGTGACTTTCCTGCGTGAATCGGGCCACTTGATAGGTGCGCTACATGATCATTAGGTCAATTTCCCATGTTGGATCACTGATATATCTTACTACCTCTGCTGGGAGACTATTACATGCATCCACCACTCTTCCCAAAAAACATTCGCTTTGAATCTGAAAATTTCACAAAGAGGAACTTCCTGTATTTTGTTGCGGAAGAAACACATGTACTACTCTGCTTGTGTTAATGTTAGTAACCCTTTGTATGCTATGTGAAATGTAATCTATTGCAAGACGATTACATGTTTACAAGGTATCGGTACTGGTGGTTAAGCAGAGGCTTTTTTGGATGTGTTTTTTTCTTCAATTATTTAGTGATGGTTGGATCTTAGCAGCTGCTGTGTGCATTAACCATCCCTTGTACCTCGTATAAAGTATCCATTTCACAGCAGATTGGGGATGGGGAACTTGTTTCTCTATAACCGCTAGTTGGCTGAGTTTGAAAGTCTTCTATTTTACTCTACAACAGATAGAGGGTCACGGTTGCTGGGTTCTGGTTCTTCGTCCTTAAAAAGCCAGTTAGCATAGTTTATATTAATAGAATCACGGTCAGAATGAAATGGCAAATTGTGAAATAATTACAGCAATTACCAACCCTACTGGCTACAGTACATTTGAAAGGCTGCCAGTGCGGATGGTGCTGTTAATGATACAGCACTCTGATGTGTCTGGCGTCATTACAGGTCACTCAAATGACCCATCACTTCCCAAACTGTCACAGGTTCATTCGCTAAAGTGAAAATTGACGGGAATTGAAAGTGAATTTCAAACTGAAGGCCAAATAGCCAAACTTAAAACAGAACCTGACTTGAATAACTTTGAAATTCACATTGAACATGTGTCAATTCTCACATTAGCAAACAACCCTGTAAATGTTATCTGTGAAGCTTTAATGGGTACCCTGATAAGCATTAGTTGAGAGGATGTCTCTTGCGAGCTCTGGGGGTTGTAAGGTAGAATCTCAAGCAATCTGTCAGCCAACCTACTGCACTAGAACTCTGTGACTGTTTTTAGTCTGCCTTTACAGAATGTTGTATGGCTGGAATAGTACATGCTGTTGTATTTTATGTAGTTGAGGTTCAGTCTGCATGGTAGCAGGCTAATCACAGAGATGATCATTTACAACGATGGCCTTAAATACCAAACTTTGCCCATAAACAAGGTTACGACCAATGCAAAACACAAAATAACTCTTAAGTAGCCAGGCAACAAATGTAAAAAAGCAAAGTATGTGTAAAAGCAATTAAAAACTCAGTGATCAACAACTGCTTAACCGCAGGGCATAGAGCTGCCTGCCAATAGCTATGGATTCTGGGTAATTACGTGCGCGTCACGCTCTGACTTACAAGTGATGGAACTTGGATCTTTTCTGAGATTGCGCTTGTGTGATTTGACAATTTAACGGGAATTCAAAGCAAATTTGACATTTTAGGACAAAACAGCTGAACTTAAGACAAACCTGACTTGGACTAGTTTTCCAGCTCAGTTACTCTTGCCTAAGATTTGAAAAAAAATTTCTACTTTGAATTATTAAATATTTAAGGTAAAATGAAATAAAAAAATTATATATATATATATATATATATATATATATACATATATTTCATATCATTAGCCCTGTTGTAGCACTATGTAAATCATATTAAGGTTCAAATTAAAGCTGAATGCCAACTTTGAATTTAACATACTAATTGGATATAAGCCAATTCATTATTATTTTCACCATTTATGCAGCACTTGATTCATACAGTGCTTAACAGAACACTATAGTGTCAGTGATACAAACATGTATTCCTGACACTAAGTGAAAGAATATCTGTTTAGGTCCCCGGCCCCCCTTCTATGTAGAGATAAAAAGGTTTAAAACTTACCCTTTCTCCCTCGCATCAGTTTTGATGCAAATGGCCTTGCTTGGTCACACCTCCATGGTTGAGATCATCAGTCAGGATGATCTCAGCCAATACAATGCTTTCCCATAGAGAAGCTTTGGGAGTCTACTGCGCATTTGCGCCAAAAAAGATGCACTGCGCCAACCAGCATCTCCTCATAGAGTTGCGTTGAATCAATGCATCTCTATGGCGAATGCTCAGCGCTTCCATGCAGGACGTTGAGACGCTCAATGTAGATGCTAAGGTAGGAAGCTCCTCCAGTGGCAGCTAGAAGTGTTACTAGCCAGCTTTTTAAAGTGCTCAGCTTACATGCTATAGACACTAGAACTACGACATTAAGCTGTAGTGGTTCTAGTAATTATAGAGTCCCTTTAAAGGGACAAGCTAAATGTGACCATTGAAGATTAACTGACACATATTTACAACATAGTAACCCTGGCTACGGCATTACAATCAAGGGGCAGGAGATGGGTAGAGCACAGAGTAATAGTGGTGGTAATTAGAAAAGTGAAGTCAATGCGTGATGGTATCTATAGAGAATTAGGCTAAGTTTTTGCTGAATTAATTGCTGTCTTCTTTGTTGGTGTCAGTTTATAAGGAACCTCTTGAAGAGTGAGATGGAAGCAGACAGCTGGATTTTCCTAAATTCCAAAGATAAAGGGGCTCGAATATAGTCTTGAAACCATTAGAGACATGCGATAAGGGAGGAGAGGAGCCACCGGCCATGGGAATAACGTAAAGGCCACACTGGGGAGTATTTTGTGATAACGGCAGAGATGGAGGTTTAGAGTGCTGTGTATGTTGGGGTCGGAATGTTAAGTTTGATCTTTAACTCCTTAAGGACCAAACTTCTGGAATAAAAGGGAATCAATGTCCTTAAGGGGTTAAAGGGATAGAATGCTAGGGAGGAGGTAGAAGATGAGTAAGGAAGGATACAGTTAAGGCTGTTAGGACTATTTTGGATAGATTATATTTTGAGAGATTCATTTAGAGAAATGCCAAACAGCATAGTGTTGTAGTAGTGAAGATGGGAGAGAAGAGAATATAGGGCTTGTGTGGTTTCTGATGTGACGAATGGGCAGATTTAGGCAAGGTGACATGGTCTGATCACAGATTGGGTAAATGGGATCAAACAGAGGGTAGAGTTGACTCCAAGGGATCGAACCTGGTCAGTTCAGGAATGAGACATGTTCTCAATAATGTGCTGAGTCTCAAAGGGAGGATAGTTCATTACAGCTGGATTATCAGTGGTTAGACACAGCTAGACCCATCATGAACATGGAATTCATGTTAGGACCTTGCAAGATACAAAAATGAAATATTATTAATCAGCCAAGCCTTTACTATGTGAATCACATTTATCTCCGGCATTTAAAAAGTAAATCCATTGCCCAAGTGAGGCGTGAGGCCCGTGCTGCACTGCCATACTTTTATGATTGTTGAAAGAGACTCCTTGACAGATATGGTTGCTAGATAGAATTGCATTTGGAGGTTGATGCATGTTCATCTGCATCTTACTCTTTTGAAGATTGAATGGGATGCTTTGCCCAAGTGGTTTTGCTCTGCTTGAATGAGGTACCACTCGTAGGTGTATTATGTATGAGTCCGTTGTCAGTCATGGATGGCTAGCAGACATTAGTGACCACGTCTATAGAACGAGGGGCACGTTAAACCTGGAGTGTGGGAAGGATGTAATGTACTAACTTTTTCTTAAAAGTGTATGCAGCTGGACTGACCACGTAAGCACAAGCGTTTAAAATTCCGCTTTAAAACAAGTGTTGATTGAAGTATTGGGAGCCATGGTTAAGGATATTAATAGATATTCATTTTTAATTAAAACCTGAATTACAAAATTTAGACATAGATAACAAACTTGTGAATATATTTGAGATGGAGACTGTTATAGCATGCAGATTAAATGTCCCTACAATTTGGAATTCATAGAATATTCCTATTTGCATGCTTCTGTAACGGGTTGTTTTTGTGTGCCTTTTTTTAAAACCCTCCGCCAACATAGCCGGTTTCTATATATATTATAGTAGAGTCAAACAAGTCTCATAACTTTATCATGCATGTGCATTATGTGTGAAAACCATGTATCAAGGCATTACTGTCTCTTTAAACATTTTCATTATACATTATTTTACTATTCCTAATCCTTGGACTCGCCCTCTACCCCTTGTGGTCACACATGCTACTACTGCCCTTCTGATCTCTAGAATAACAGCTGAACCCACACTATAGTTATATGGAGCACAAGGATGTTTAATGATGCAGATCTTGTCTGTCCCCAATGCAGCTAGCGCAGTGTCAGCTTAATCTGCTCATCCAGTCTGTGTCAGGACCTAAGTGGAGATCAGCTAAAAAATTCCCTTCAAACCACATATCTAGTAGATAATGGACATTCAAGGAAACAGCCCCAGAATGTGCCAACTGGCCTGGGTTTACCAGAGAGTCACTAGATGTCACACACTGTGTGCTGAGGAATGCGTGACAGGCATGTAATGCGAAGAATGTTAGGTTTGTGACTCAGCAAGGACCAAATGTGTCTCAATTTAGACATGGGTCAGATTGATGCATACTGCTTGATATCTGGGGCTAGCAGGAGGGGTGCAAGGGGGGAGGATGGTGGGGGTTTATAGAGTTGATAATATCTTTCCATCATTTCCCATTGTACAGCGCTATGGAATTTGCTGGCGCTATATAAATAATAAAATAATAATTCAAAATCTCATATTATGTAGTCATAACTCGGCTTCCAGAACTCACACAGGTATCTTCATTAGAAATGTTATTATGATTTTGGGCATTTATATAGTGCCAACATATTCCGCAGCGTTTTAAAATCTTCCAAAAGGGTGACATTTAACAATAAAGGAGATAAATACAAAATGTTACAGGAACAATAGATAAGAAAAGAATTATAAATCATAAATAAAATCAATTAATACTCATTGTACAAAGAGAGCCTATGCAGTGAGGTGTTTTATACAATAGGTGTCTATCTGCTAATTAGTGCTGTGTGAGAGATTCTCCTGTGTATGTTAATGGATAAACCAGGAGTATTGAAATACCACATGTACATTTATTACTTAACTACGTCTCCCATGAACATTTGATAGCAAAAAACATAGAACCAAGTTGTCAAAAGGTTTATGGGAGCTGTAGTTCACGAACAGCTGGAGGCCTTTTATATATATCCCCCCCTCTATGAACACTAGTAAGCAGATAGGAAGTCAGGCACTGTTAGCGAAGAATAACATAAATCTCCCCAGTATCTCACTGTTTAGTGAATTTCACCCACAGACTCGTGTTTAGTACATTATTATTATTTTATTATTTATATAGCGCCATCAGATTCCCTAGCGCTGTACATAGACCTAAACAGTGTTATGACACTTGACCTCTGACCCTTAATATGTTAAGGTCAAAAGGCATTGCATAGTTAAGAGCAAGAATGACCAAAAGGTAAATGCACGGGACAGCTGGGGATCTACGTTTTAACCATTCCCTGGTTTAAAATATAGGGGGAAGAAAAAGTATCCAGTACCTTAAATAAGAGTCCTAATGGACACATGCCCCTTTATATGGGAGAAATATTTCCCTCCTGCCTTTCTAATGCACGCCCCACTGCCATTGTCCCAATAGAGTGAATATATAGGGGTGGATGACAGCTGGACATTTTTGGAATAGCCCAAAATGACGTGGGCTGAGAACCACATCCTCTACCACTCTCATCCATGGGTGATGGGACACCACACCAGTACCCCGTCATGCTCACTTAACTTCCTAATAGAACTGCCAAGCTGATATGCTCACATGCCCATTTTATGCAGTAACTGCCAAACCAAAATGCCATGAAGCATTTGGACCAAAATAATATATTTATGTATAATGTACGTATTTTTATATTTTCTGGGGATACTGGTAAATGCCCTTTCAGATGTAGGTATGCAAGGATGATAAAGACCTTTTTTGGACCAAGGTACACTCTTTAATGTGAGAAAATAAATTCCAGGGCAGACTGACTTTATTTAACCTCCATCATTGGCCTATAAATGTTATAGAGAGTTATACAACTAAAGCAATTTATTTCCTAGATGTAATTAATTGCCAGGGTGGATTATCAATTTAGTGCAGATACTTGTGAAATAAAATACACACTAAGGACTGCTTTCAACCTTTTAAAATTCATGAAGTCAGTGAGTTTGTGGAACACTTTGAGGGGACTTACGGCACAATGGTAGACACCCAGTGCTATAGATTGTCAGTTCCGCAGACAAGGAGTTTCAGTTTATACATGTAGCCTGGGTAGCTCTGTTCAATGTTGCTAAGCTGAGCACATTCCCAGACATTTGGACATAACATCATGCACCGCGTATGTTAGAAGTGAGGCTATTCTGGACGCCTGCTTGGCACCAGCCCTGGGAAAATTGCATTTTAGCAGCTAAACACATTTACAGCACCCACCCATCTGTATTTCCCCGTTATCCGCTGCTGTGGAAGGGCAGAGAGAGAGAGAAATGGTGGAGTCTTGTGAATTGGTGATCAGATATGTTCTCCGTAGGTTCCACACTGAGCGTGTGTGCTTATTTAGCTCTCCTGCCGCTCCTCTCACACATTAGCCCTCTGTCAATCGCTACATTGGCTCCATGTACCTTTAGAATTCAATGCAAAGATGCTCTACAAAGCTCTCAACCTACCACTATATTTCTGAAATAATCCATAGTTATCCCCCTTCTCGGCTGCTTCGCTATGCTGGTGACTTCCTCCTGTTCGCTGATCATACCTGTACTGCTAACTTGATTTCTTGTGAGCGGCTCAGTTCACCCATCAGACTCTCTCCTACTCCTCAATCCTTTAGAAGTCCCTAAAAAAAATCACCTCATCAGAATAGCCTATGGCTTCCAAGGTAACGGTCATTACTCTCTCAATTTAATTAGTGAGTCAATTCTCCATTCCCTTCTCAACTTCCAATTATGCTACTTTTTCACCCCATAACTTGGTTCCTATCCCACCCCCACTGCCCTAACTAGTGTGATATTATATACCCCACCTCCTCTGGAGCTAGTTTGAGCAGGGTCCTCATCAACCTATTGTTCCTGTAACATTTAATAATAGTCTGTAAACATTCATTGTTAAAGTCCCCTTAATAATATTGTAAAGCGCTGTGTAATAAGCGGGCGTTATATAAATGCCAATGATAATAAATATGTTTTTCGTTTTTAATTTTTTGAAAACAATTGCAGAACAAGTAAGGCTTGATCAGTAAGTACAGCAGGAACCTCTGTATGGAAAATAATTTGGTGAAAAACTGCTCCTATTACCTTGAAAGATCTACCTGTAAAGGCAGGAGTATCCCTCTATTCTCAACTCTACGGGCCATAGAATAAAAAAATAATTCTGTAAAGTCGTGGTATTGCATTGATCTAGTGATGAGTCTTAAAGGAACACTATATGTTAGGAGTACAAAACTGTATTCCTAATACTAAAGTGCCCCTCTGCATCCGTGGCTCTCCTGGTCCCACAGCCTCCGACTTCAGCCAATGGGGGTAACTAATGCGCACGCCCAGCAAGCTCTGCACGTGTGTTATACCTTCCCATAAAAAAAATTATTTGATTGGCTCAGTGCTGTCCTATTGCGTTTTTTAACACGCTGGACGTGAAGTGTCAGGACGTCAAGTGTTGTTTCTCAGAGTTAAACTCTGTGAAACAGCAGGAAGCGCCTCTAGTGGCTGTCTGGTAGACATTCACTAGATACAGTCTTAACCCTGCTATGTAAACAGTGCAGTTTATTTGAAACTTCAGTGTTTAACATTCTAGGGCTAGGGATATAATTCCAATTCTGGGGATCCTACCTTCTTAGTTGTGTTAATCTATTTATTATTTGATCTTTTGTATCGCCCTCACGCTAAACCCTGGTATGTATCATTCTTACATTTTAGGGTTACACTGCCTCATATGGTATGTCTGGGCATAATCTCTAACTAGACCTGGGTTGTCAATCAGTTGTTGGAATGCATTTCCAGGTGGCCGGCATTTGCAGTCCAACAAAAACTGGACGCCAGGGGTGGAGCGACATCCGCCACAATGTGTGTTTTGCAGACCTGAAAAATATTTAAAAGAAAAACTGTTTGAAAAAAATGCCTGTTTTGAAATGTTACTCATTGTATCATGGTTGTATGGAATGTGTAGTTATATTTGTAAATGTTACATATGTAATTATCCAATAATATAGAACAAATAAAGGGCATTATTTTAGAGTTTAAAAAGGAGCAATCCAGGGCGTCTTGGAAAAAAACAAACATAAACCAAAACAAAACACATTGTTGTTCTGAATAAATAGAGCATAGCCCCTGGTGGTTTTAGTGAGCAGATCCTGATCTCTATTCCTGCCCTATCCTCTGCTATGACTCACCAATTGATTTACACATTTCCTTAAAGGGACACTATGTGTTGTTAGACTTCTTTAATTGTGACTGATCAATCATGTAACCTGCATTGATTTATTTTTATATAAAGTCAATGGACGGGACACAAATCTGGTCTGCTATATAGATTTTTTTAAATTTTTTTTTTTTATAGATATATTTAAACACCAGCAGCTGTTGGCTACATTGCCCAGGGCATACAGTGATGCTGGCAACACATTCCCCCAGTTTGATCAGCTGTCAGGTGGCGGTGAATGTGGTCAGAGTGAAATGGTGTGCATCTATCTACAAAGACATGTGTGCAGCGCTTTGACAGCATTTATTTCTATTAAAATAAATGAAATAGAAATTTATTGGCACTTCGAGTCACCTGTAGTCAAGCAGGAATTGAAGTTATCAAACCTCTGACACCTTACAGAGAGCTTGTCAGGCCTCTACATTGCATCATGGGAAATGTAGTCCACAATGACGGATAATTAACCCTCCATTACTGTATGGGTTTGTCAAAGTAAGACAGAAACCCTTTACCGTGACTGTAGAGTTTTCTGGGCGCTATACAAACATGATGACAATGAATGTGTGTAAGAAGATATTGCAAGCTTGCCACCTCTTGTCTAAGTCAAATGTGCCCTTGATTAATATCCATGTCTGTGACAATTGTACAACTCCACAGAATATGTTGGTGCTTTCTAAATGATAATACTTTTTTATACCATGTTTTTGTAGCCAATATAACCAAATGTTTCCCCAGCCCACCCCACTCCTTGGGATATTTGGTGCAGCCCAGACCCTTGTTTTGGAAGTACGAAAATTCCTTAGACACGCAATACGATCACCTCCTTGATAGGTGGGGAGGGGGCAGCAGCTGGTACATTCTGGGTCACAGGGGGACTGTTCAGTTCATGTTAATCCCCAAACTCCTTCCCTCCCCCTTAGCCATCTGGATAATCAATTACTGCTCTCCACATACATACTTTCAATTAGAAATACAGTCACACGCTGATATTACTCATTTACTGGATCATTTTGTATAATTTGCATATTTGCATGTTAACAATGCATAATTGGAAAGAATAGATGCTCTACAAATGTTTCTTAACCTTAATTGTATATTCTTTATGTTTTGGCACCTTAAATTACACGTGTTGTTTTCACCTGAACGAGAGATGCAGTTTGGCACTACCACTACTTCCTATTGTATAATATAGTATCCTGCAAAGTGGTGCAGAGAAAAAATGTCTTCTACCTTCTAAAGGACAAACTGTATAAGCAGTTTGACAGTATTCACTCTATGGTTTTGCCCGATCAAGCTTTAACCCCTTAAGGACCAAACTTCTGGAATAAAAGGGAATCATGACATGTCACATGTCATGTGTTCTTAAGGGGTTAAAGGAACATTATAGGGTCAGGAATACATGTTTAGGTGCAAAACCCACCGTTTAGGTGGCTTGCCCCCCTTATCCCCCTTAAAAGTTAATAAAACTCACCTTATTTCCAGCGCCGCACAGGTCTGCCAGCTCTGTCCCCGCCCCCTTGGTGACATCATCAGAATTGCCAATTTTTAGCCAATCCAATGCTTTCCCCTGGGGTAAGCATTGGATCAGCTAAAATAGGCAACGGAGCGTGGCCAAATGCCATTTTCACCAATCAGCACCTCCTCATAGAGATGCATTGAATCAATGCATCGCTATGTGGAAAACTCAGCGTCTTCATGCAGAACGTGGAGACGCTGAACGGCAGAGCTACCTACTGTGCAGCACTGACCCAGGAAGCACCTCCAGTGCCCATCTGAGGAGTGACCACAGGAGGTGTCCCTAGGGGCAATGTAAAATTCTCTGAAAAGGCAGTGTTTGCATGAAAATGCCTGAAGGCAATGATTATACTCACCAGAAAAACTACATTAAGCTGTAGTTGTTGTGGTGACTATAGTGTCACTTAAATGTGTTAAAATTTGCTCTGTTCTTTTTTTTTTTTTTCTTTTTTTGGTTAAACCTCTGGCTCCAAGCAAATAGAACCTCAAGTCTTATAATATATATAATATATGTATTATTATAATACATTAATCACAAAGAAATATGGACCAGACACATACAGGTATGTTAAGGCAGATTTATTGGGAAACCATACAACGTTTTGGCTTGATAAAGTCGCCCGGGGTGCCGAAATGTATGGTTTTCCAAACTCTTTCTTAACACACCTGTATGTGCCCAGTCCAACAGTGCCCAGTTAGTCCCCCTGCTGGCTGGAAATCAAATAAAATAAAGTTAAAATCAGTATATTAAAAAAAATAAAAAAAAAATAAAATATATATATATATATATATATATAAAATTAACACCGTAAATCCAGTGTGGTAAATCCAGGAGCTAGTTCACTAAAAAAGGCTCAGATTGAGACACTACTGTGGGCATATATTTCAAAAATCTGAAATAGAGAGCAACACTTGTGTGTGTGGTGTGTATACCTTTAAATCTGCTGGAAACAGAGTAAGATCGATACACACAAAATACTATACTTTGTAAAAAAAAGAGAAATTAACACCTCTTCATATATAGGAAGACAGTATAAGGAACTGTTTCCTATATTGCAATAGGATTAGTGCAACATTAATGTGTAATGACACAAAAGTATATGGTGTATACGCCTTTAAATCTGTAAATACAGAGATAAAATGGAGTATATGCCAAAATACTGTACTTTGTATTACAAACATATAAAATATAAACCTTATAGGGTAGAGATACAGTATAGATGACTGTATTCCACAATAAAGTGAAAGCAGTAAAAATCAATAAAATCCAATAAATTTAAAAATAGTACGAAGTTTATTATAAAAGTGACTATGCCAAAGCATTAAAATATGTGAAGAATAGTAATATATATAAAAATATCAAAATATCCACCCGTACCAAGAGGCCTACTCGAGACCCTGCCGAGGAGAGGCGGACGCTCTCCTCGCGGACGACACCGCAGTGGGAACCTCCAAATTACTCACCTCCTACCCCCTGGACCGGCAGGGGTTATCCCGGTCCGCACAGTGTGTGCCACGCTGATCTCAGCACGACGACAAGGCAGTGAGATCCCCCACAAGGCACTCCTAAGATGGTGGCTGGTAGCGAATCGCTCACGCTGAACCTGCTCCCGCAAGCAACAATCTACCACGACACCACACAGCGCCTGAACGAAATATTCAGACGCTTCTGGGCAAAATTAAGAAACCGCCTGAAAACAATACAGACCGCGCAGGGACCTGCACAAACAGCGGGTAAGCAAGACAGCCGGCAGCGGGGACATGGGGGCATACCCTTGGGCATAGCGACGGACGACCCACGCAACCCCAAACCGCAGAGCCTACCCGGGCTGGAGGCCAAAAGGGTGAAGACCCGGATGCATCGCCCACACCCACGGAGGCTCCAACACTGCAAACGGCCAAAGTCCATCAGGCCCTCCACTACCCCCGAAAGGGGAGGAAACTCGGGCTCCAGAAGCTGCAGAGTTCGTGGCACAGAGATGTAGGCCCATGCAACAGCCTGGGGCTTGAGGGATGCCACCATACTGTCTACTGCTCCAGCTCCCTGCTTTCAAAGAGACGGCATCGGATGATAGAGCCTCCAGAAGGTCAGCGCCGGGCCCACCATCCATCAGCTTAATCTGACATACTGCATGACCAGTACTGACATCCATGGAGAGCAGAGGGCAAAAACACACGCAGCCCCGGACAACAGAGACTTTCAAGCATACTGTAAAGTTATCTGTTAGACAACTGTTATATTTTTACTTTTATTATTTCTAAGCATGTAATCTACATATCATACCATAAGCTCAAGCAGAAAAAACGAAGTCACATGAACATGGTCAGCCTAACTTAACATGTTAACCATGAGCCGCTTCATGTCAGTAAATATAACATACTGAAGTTCATACTGCATGATGTTAACCTTATGACATAACTTATTAAGCCTGCTCTCGACTAGATAGACAATGTTTAATTGATATTGGCACTGTCGGCACCAATATTTGTCTATCTCCTGCCCTACGATCTTACTGTGAGTTACTATAACAGACAAGCTGAGCTAGCCTGTACTAAGCTTATTTAATGCCTACCAAACGACATGTCTCACATCCTGCCTACTTTAAAAAAAAAAAAAAAAAAAATACTGTATAACATGTTCACATATCACAGTTACCCTAGCTTGGTCAATCAGGCACCGTTAAACTTACTTAATCCACCTGCTTAGACGACACACCTGCCTAGATATGCCTGTTTTCCATAGAGAGCAATCTGTGTGATTTCAACAAGCTTAATTCTTTCTTTTCCTTTCTTGCTCTTAATTAAAAAATGTGCACATACTCCTGAACACCCCAATGTTTTAAGTGTTGAAACTCAGCGTGGGGATTGCTGTTGGGGCACCACACGCATGCTGTTATATATCTTTGCACTGCAAAAATAAATGTAAAAAAATAAAATATCAAAATATCAGTCAGGGATGGTTTGCAAGATTGTTACCAGCACATCTGTGTTTGTAATTCCGATTTTACCATAGGGACTGATCAGGATGGATGTGGATACTTTGTTGCTGTAAAATGTATCACTTTCTGCCGGCTGCTTGTGAGGTTGGCGTGCGTCCCAGACCTCACTCTGGGTGATGCATGCTACTAGCCGGTCGGTCCCCAGATCTCGGAATGCTCTTTGCTCGGTGGAAAAGAAGAGAGCACGGTGGCTGGTTCTCTAATCTGCGTCCGTACCCCGCTTGATTTGATGTGGTCTAACGCGTTTCGTGGGTGTCAGCCCCACTTCCTCAGAGACAGGATGAAGTTTCTTCGATGTAGCATGATTTAAATACAGTTCAAACTGATTAAAATTAATTGTATTGGTTTGGTGTGTTAGTTAATTTAGGGGATGGTACACTAAACTATTGATTGGGGTGTACACATAGAATTTGAACATATCATTTCAGTATACAAAATTATTAAAATTCTTAAAATTCATAGATATAAACAATACAAACATGGAAATATTCAAGAACATGAAAACATTAGGAGTGTCTGTAGAGTATATCTATAAAAATATTTTTACAGCATATAAAAATCAATATTCGTTGTGCATATTCTGAAGATCCTAAATAAAAAATTTAAAAAATCTGAAAGGTTAAAAGATATATTTTATAAGAAGGTACAGTAGTTGTAAATTACAATGATAACCTATGGGGATAATGCACATATAAAAAGATAATACAATAAATGCCTAAGTTGGTACTAGGTGGTCTAGGTATAAAATACATCACTATAGACATCATATTCAATTGATAGTATAAATAGAAAAAGTGCTTAGAGAGCTGCATGATGAAATTTACAGTATAGAGAAATATTTAGAACTACTCAACCAAAAAAAATAATGGTGAAGTATAAAAAGACTGCAAGAAAATATGTAGAGACTGTAGAAAAGATAAATAGATAAAAACTGTGAAAAAAAACATATGTTGGATAAAAATGTCTATGTTCCGTTGGGGAATGGAGAGGAAGAGAAATAAATAATGCTGGAAAAAAGGGGATAATTTAATTCAACTTAATGTGGCTGGAATTGTTCAGTTATTCAATATAATATGTTGAAACTGTAAGACATACAGGACAACAAAGAATAAAAAATAAAATATAAAAAATAAAAAATAATAAATAAAATATGTATAAATATAAACCCACACATAGATATAAATATATAGTTCTATCTAGGGATAAGTGTGATTCATATGGATGAGTGAGTGTACAAAGATGTATGAAATAAGAGGTATGTATGTAAGTGAACTTATGGTGGGTTCCCTCTGTATACCCTAAAATGAATAAAATAAGTAAAAATAAGTGGATAAGTGTATCGAAGTGATATAAGTGAATATATATAAAAGAGTGAAAAAAAAAAAAAAAGGAATTCTATAAAAAAGCAATTCTATAAAAAAGCATTGAGTTCAAAATCTACGTTCCGACCTTTGGGAACCAAGGTCTCTAGGTTGAATATCCACTTTGCTTCAATTTGGTCTAGATTTCTTTCCATATCCCCACCTCTCCAATGTACGTTCACTTTTTCAATGGGTAAGAATTTCAATGTTGTGTGATCTCCTCCATGGAATTCTTGGAAGTGTTTGGAGAGATTGTGTGTCTGTAGTCCCCTCTTGATGTTACGTATATGTTCTGCTATTCTGGTTTTCAGGGATCTCTTTGTTCGTCCCACATACGGTTTTAGCAAGGGCATGTGATGAGGTAGATGACTCCTACTGTATCACAACTCATATCGGTGTGTAGGTTATATTCTTCCAAATTGTTTGTAGATTTAATTCCAAGGAGGGGTTATTCTTGCACGCTATGCATTTGGTGCATCTTCTGAAACCTCTAGTTTTTGTTTTGTCCTGGAAGTCATGGGAAGATTTAAGAGTTGGTGCTAACATAAGTTGCAGATTTGATGCTTTTGTAAAAATAATTTTTGGTTTAGAGTCTAGAATATCAGTGAGTGTGGGGTCGCTCCTTAATATGTTCCAATGTTTGTGTAGGATCTTCTCTATGGTGCGAGATTGATGATTAAATTTAGTTATGAAAGCGGGTGTTGATTGGTATGTATTGGTGGTCTTCTTCTTGCTCTTCAGGGTAATCTCTCTTGGGATAATCAGTGCTTTCTTTCTAGCATCAGTTAGTAGTGTTGTAGGATATCCTTTAACTAGAAACCTCTGTTTCATCTCCTCCATTTGTTCTTCGCAGGATTCCATTTTGGAACAATTCCTTCTGATTCTCCTAAACTGGTTATGGGGAATGTTTTTCAGCCAAGTATGTTTGTGGTGGCTGTTAAAAGAAATGAAACTGTTGCAGTCCACAGATTTCTTAAAAGTCTTAGTGTGTATTTCTTTGTCTTCAATATAGATGTTTAAGTCTAAAAATTCAATCTGTTGCTGTGAATGGTTGAATGGAAATTCCAAGTTATACGGGTTGGTATTGAGGTAGTTCTTGAATGATTCTATGGATTCCAGATCTCCTTTCCAGATAAAAAAACAGTCGTCTATATATCTACGCCACAGGGACAGATTTGCGTCAAAAGGGCAGTTGTTCCATATGAATTTTTCTTCCCATTTGCCCATGAATAAATTTGCATAGCTTGGCGCAAATCGTGTCCCCATGGCGGTATCCTCTATCTGTAGATAAAATTGATCGTTACACCAAAAATAATTATGGGTAAGAATAAATGCAATGCATTGGATAAGGAAATCGATTTGATCATTCTTTAATTCCGAATATACTGCCAGTGAGAATTGGGTAGCCTCACATCCTTGTAGGTGTTCTATTATTGTATAGAGTGAGGTGACGTCTGCTGTAACTAAAAACATATCTTCTGTACATTTAAAATCAGCTAAAATATTTAAAATCTGCGTGGAGTCCCTCAGGTAGGATTTGAGGTGGGGTACCAAATTTTGTAGAAACTGATCAACGTATTTGGAGAGATTGGCTGTGAGAGGTCCAATTCCAGAGATAATTGGTCTTCCTGGTGGTTTTATCAGTCGCTTATGGATTTTGGGTAAGTGGTAGAAGACTGGTATCCTTGGAAATTTGGTAAATAGATACTGGTATTCCCTATCATTGATGATCCCTCTCTCCTTTCCTTGATCCAGTATTTCTTTTACTCTTTCCTTGAATGGTAAAGTGGGATCTTGTTCGAGTTTGAGATAAGTAGAAGTGTCTCCCAACAGTCTTTGGTTCTCATCCACATAGTCCTCAGTGTTCAGGATAACTAGTCCCCCTCCTTTATCTGCCGCTTTGAAGGTTATGTCCCCCAATTTCATAAGTTGTTTGAGTGAATTCCTCTCTTTTTTTGTGAGATTATCTTTATTGATCTTATTTGTAATCTCCCTTCTAAAATCTTTCTCCACCATCTTCTCAAATACTTTAATTGAATCGGTCTTCATATGTTGTGGGTAAAAAGTGGAGGTGGGATGTAATCCTGTATGAGTGTAATCTTGTATTGTGTTAGGTTGTGTTGGGTCCTTGTCAGCAAAAAATGTTTTGATAGTAATTTTCCGTATGAATTTGTGTATATCTATGCAGGCATTAAAATTCGAACTTTTCGAAGTGGGTGCGAACTTTAAACCTTTTTTTAAGAGTGATATTTCATCTGGATTGAGAACCCTGGTGGATAGATTAAATATGTTTACCTCCTCCTTTTTTGTTGGACTGGGTCTTCTCGTGGTTCTGACTCTTCTTCTGTTTCTCTTATTGTTCTTTTCTTCCTTATATCTGGAGACCTGAAGTCCTCCATGATGAATTGTTTGTGGGGAATCCTCCCCCGTTTCTCTAAAAAAAATCATTCCCCATGTGTGTATTTGAGACTAAAGGTAAGGTCTTGTTATCCTTAGCCGTCATGGTGGGTTGAGTCTCCCCATGATCTGATGATTGAGTTCTTAAATCTGGAGTGTTTTGGTATAGGTGGTCTTGTAGTCTCCAATTCTTCTTCTGGTATTGGTGAGTGTCTTGTTCTGGACGTTGTTTGTACCTTCCCTGATGTGTATATCGCATCTGATGATGGTGTTGGTATTGTCTGTAATTTGTGTTCTCATATCTTCTATTATGAGTGTGTAGGAGTTCTTTGGGAGACTAGAGCTTCCTTGTAAGTCATACGTCCCTGTGGTCTATAATCCATTTCGTATTCCTTAGGGGGATTGGGTCTCTGTCTTGTATCTTTTTTCCAATTTCTTTGTGTCTATATATATGATCTAAGTATATATATATATATATACACATACACTGTCTAGGTGTATTTTACTATTAATAAATATATATAATTATATATATATATATATATATATATATATATATATATTAATACCAAATTACACGTAAACTGATACTGATTATATAATTATTGTTATATATATATATATATATATATATTTATATATAATATAAAAAAATTATGTAAATACGTTAAAAATAAAATTAAAAAAATAATTTAAAAATATATAGGTGTGTTATTTCGTTCTAACTGTATTGTGATATTAATATATATATATATTTATATCAAAATACACGTAGAATGAAATAATATATATATCTATATACATAAATATATAAATATATACGTATATATCACTATATATATACCTATATATAAATAAAAATATTTTCAAAAAATTATAAATTTTTGAAAACACCATAAAACCTGTACAGGAGGGGTACTGTTGTACTCGGGAGACTTTGCTGAACACAAATATTTGTGTTTCAAAACAGTAAAAAGTATCACAGCAATAATATCGTCCGTGTAAGTTCTGTTTGTGTGTGTAAAAATGCAAAAAAGTCACTTTTAATTGCGATATCATTGTTGTAATATATTTTACTGTTTTGAAACACTAATATTTGTGTTCAGCGAAGTCTCCTGAGTAAAACAGTACCCCCCATGTACAGGTTTTATGGTGTCTTGGAAAGTTATAGGGTTAAATATAGTGCTAGCAAATTAAATTCCCTATACTTTCGGCATGGGTTGTCAGACAGGTCCCGCTAATTGTAATTAATTAAAATACCTAATTATGTAAAAATATTACATAAATATATATGTAGAACTAATATATGTGTGTGTATATATATATATATATATATATATATATATATATACGTATGTGTATATATATGTGTATATATATATATATGTATATATATATAAATATATATAATTTAAAAAAAATATTTTTATAATGATATATACGTATATATTTATGTATATAGATATATATATTATTTTGTTAATATCAATATATTAATATCACAATAACGTTAGAACGAAATAACACACAACTATATATTTTTTAATCATTTATTTTTAATTATTTTTTAATTTTATTTTTAACGTATTTACATTTTTTTTTATATTATATATAAATATATAACAATAATTATATATATATATTTATATATATATATAAAATCAGTATCAGTCTACGTGTAATTTGATATTAACATATATAATTATATATATATATATATATATATATATATATTAATAGTAAAATACACCTAGACAGTGTATGTGTGTATATATATATATGATCTAAGTATATATATATATATATTTTTTTTTATACTGATTTTAACTTTATTTTATTTAATTTCAGCCAGCATGGGGACTAACTATCATTACAGGCAGTCCCCCTGCTGGCAATGCAGCGGCCAGCTAACCCGGCCATGTGATTGTGAGGTCCTCACAAGGACCTCACTCTCACATGGCCGGAGGAGGCAGGATCTGCCGCGGGGGACTCCCTGGGATCCCAGGTGAGTACCCCGACCGCGATCGCCAGCGTGGGATCTCCGGCGACCGGGTAAGTAAGAAAAACCGGAGGGCGTACTTGTACGACCTGCAGCGTTTAGAGATCATTAGAATAGGGCGTAATAGTACGCCCTCCGGTTTTAAGGGGTTAATTTAGTTGTATTGGTTATAGTGTCTGGAGTACTCTGATGTTATTCCTCCATTCAGTGTTAAATTGTTATCAAGCAGTTTCACACTAAATAAGGTTCCTCAGCCTTCCACAACTCGTTTTTCACTGGAGACATGGCTAAGGCAGAGATTACACACTTATAGCTATTCGGTTCATACCTGAATGGTATACTGTGATAAGCTGAAAGCGGTCAGCTGACCATCTCAGCCAATCACAGCCATCTATTTCTGTTCAGGCTAATTAATCTTCATTAGCCCATGCAGCACAGATAATATGGGCTCTGGGGACTCTCGTTTAGCATTAAAGCGGCACTGTAATGCCAAACTTACCTTTCTTTATTCGTTTCCTCTTCTCTCCCTCTCTCAGGATCTGTTCTCTGTTTCTTCCTATCTGATCTAGTTTTCTTTAAAACATAAGACAAAGTACTATTTTGTGTTATGGAAGTTTCCTATGCCTGACCATCTATGACCAGTGGAGGAGCAAAGTGTGCTCTGTTTCCGGTGGTCCGTGATCTTGCGATGCCTCCTGTCAGTATTCCCGAACATCCTGTCATTTAGACAGAACGCTGGCGAAACTACTGAATTTCGCCTTAACAGAATGAGAACAGTTTGTTCATTCATGTTAAGATGGCATTCGGTACTTTTAGGTCAGTTAGAAATTTTATTAGAATGAATGAAATTCCAATCCGATTTGTCCTGCAGCCGCTTAGTAGATAGCTCCCTAATTCCCACGGTATCAGGGAGCTATCTACCAAAAGGCTGAAAGACCAACTTCACTAATACTAAGTACTTAGAGGCATGTCTGCTAAACAGTGAGCAGCCAGTGGCCATGACAGTGCTGCTTTAAAACATTAAAATCTGTTTAATGATTAATGGAAGGACGGAAGTCAGGGGCTCTGTGCACTATAACCACTTTAATGAGCTAAAGCAGATACGGTGCCTACAGTGTCCCTTAAAACCCACACACATCACAAATGCTCATTGTAACGGATCACCTGGCACCCCGACTGGGTACCTCCGTTGAAGGATGCTCCTTGCGCTTCCTGAGGACTCCAAGCACTGCAGCAGACACCAAAACCACCGAACCGTAGGAGCATATGAATGCTCTCAAGCATTTTAATGTTGTATTCAGCCGAATAGGAAAAAGCATGCAAATAGGTTTACACTCCTAGCAGTCAAACTGGAACAGCATACAATGAATCCTCCCCCAATAATGAGACGACACTTCACTTTGAGGGTTAAGCAGAAACTGACTGTACTGGCACATACAGCCTCTTTTATTCCCAATCCACAAACTTAGTACTGCCCACAGGGTTTTACAGAACAACCAATCAATCTGTACAATACACACAGACACTCCCACACAAAATCCTCCCCTCTGCCTGTAATACAATTACACATGGGTAATCTAATTATCACAGACAGAGAAATACAGTTTCATAAAACACATCACAGGGACCCCAAAACATGCAATAACCCCATAAAATCCTTGGAACCGGGGGATCTGGGTGAACCACATATCCAAAATTCACCCAGATCCGTTCAGTATTTTGGAAGATACAGTTTAATGCAGATTCTGCAGAACATATACAGGCTAAATGAAAAACAATCACTGTATAATGTGTCCCCTGCTGTATAGTCCAAAACCACTGCACAATGTCTCTGTGCACCAAATACTGGCGAGATGGCACCGTGTTGAAAAGTCCAAACAGTGTCTGTGAGTTAAAATGGCCACCATCCATTGTTCTCACCATGTGCTTCTGATACAGGAAATGGTGGCCACCCAGTAACTCCACAGTATGTCCCCAGATGGTTCTTAAAGGGCCAGCAGCAGCACAACACAAATCCATTATGCCCAAATCATGTCTTTAAAGGGCAATACATCCCAGGGGCCATAGTCACATGGCAGGAGGCTGGCAATCAGTCTTCTCCAATGCCCAGTGGCGAGGTCGGTTTTGCCACACTCATCTTGACTGTTCATGCTACTAATGGCGAGGTAAGGTCATTTCAGGACCTAGAAGCCCCCCAAACACACTCACCACGGAGTGAGGCTCCTGTAGACTTTGTAACTCAATCAATATCTTTGCAATGAAAACATTTGTTCTAACTTTACACCCATTTATGGTCCATATTACAAACATAGCATTTGGTTGATGACCTAATTTTTTTATCTAAACATTATCTCAGCGACCAATTCTTCAACTGTGATGTAATACATGATGAATTCTGGAAAACACCTTCATTAGACTCTTCACGGAGTTAGGGGGTCTCCATTGCACTGGGAAAGGCATGCAATACATTTGTTCTTTTTTTTCTTGTATCACGTTACTTTAGTGCCATTTATTGAAATGTGTTTCTGTTTTACTTGATAATTCTATTTATGAATAGAATATTAAATGTGTCAGTGTTACTATTTCAAAAGAGAAAAGAGGGTTGCACTCAATCCTAAAACTCACAGGGTGCTATGGGGCAGCATACCCCATAAAACAGGTATCAAAGAAAAAATCTCAGGCACTCACTGATAAGTTAAGCAAGTTTAATAGACACTGCAACATTTCAACCCGTACCCAGGTCATTATCAAGCTTCATAAAGACCTGGGTACCGGTTGAAATGTTGCTGTGTTCATTAAACCTGCTTAACTTACTACAGTGAGTGCCTGAGATTTTTTTCACTGTTACTATTTCAGACTGACAGACTGTTATACTCAAACATATTCCATCTAAGAACCATATTAAATTCCTGGATGGAAGTGTTCTTCCCCTACTGGCAATCTTCAATATACAGCAACAGACAGGCAAATCAATTCATCTAGTCAGAAGTCCATCTAATGTGTATGAAAAGACCGTGCTAAATTGTATTACAGGCAAGGAATAATTGTGAACATTTCCAAAACCCAATGTCCGAATTTCTGTATCTATAAATATTCATTTAATTTCAGATATATAATACCTTACTAAAGTGTAGAGTTGTTAATATTTTGTAGGCTGAAATTAGTTAGCACTGTGCTATATTTGCCTTTTCCCTGGTAAATAAAAAATGTGCATAATTTTATATGTAAATAATGAGTATTGTAATATTTACATACTTTGAAAGGACATGCATGTATATATTTTTTTGTTTTTACAGTTTATTATTATGTTTAATATATCGCATTTTGAAGAATGATAAATAAAATGCAGATTTGTTCATACCAGCTTGTAATCCATACACCCAAGTATGTATAATAATGATATTGATTTAATGGGCAAAGATTTCATGGAATTGAGAAACAAAGAGTTGAGGAATTTCACAATGTTAGCTTCTAAAACGAATGAATTTATCTTTTTAAAGAGGTAGGCAGAGAGTTAGTGGTACAAAAGAACTTGGCTTATCCAGTAAATTTTGTAGTATTTTGTACATACTAACACTTGTGTTTGAGCGACATGCCTTTTGGGTCTTAGATTGTGGAACACGTAGGGGAACGTGGACAACTCTGCCTTGTACATTTATCTTCAAATATTAATGAATCCAGACAGATGTGATGATTGCATATTTAAAGCAAATCTGATTTGAAATGGCTTTGTGTAATGATGGCATACAGTAACTGATGATCAGAGTGTTAAGTGTGTAAGCATTCTAAAAGCCATTATGCTAAGTAAACTGGCGTCTTCTCAGTACTTCCTAAGTAAATGTTAGATTGACTGATAAACATGGACCACTAGGGATTCTTATACAGCACAGACAAAATGCTTTCAGCTTCCACCCCACACCTGTTACATGTGTGACTTGTAGGATTATCAAGTTCGGATTGAGATGTCCAGTTGAGACACCTGTCCAATGTAATTCAAAGACATTTGCAGACCAAGGGGCAATTAGGCCAGCTTTAGGCCAAGAGTTTGTGCAGTTGTTACTCTGCCAGGTCAAAGTTCAGGACCTCTTGACAGGGATAGAATGATTGACAGAGGACATGTGCTTATACAAATCCTATTTACTTGGTTCCAAGGTAAAATTAGATCTCCTGAAAATCTAGAAATTTAAAGTACAAAAAGCTTAAGTAAAGTCATCTACTCCATCCAAAAATGGTAATGCCTCATCTTGGCACCTAGATCTGCCTAGCATCATGAAAATGTAGCTCACAAACAAGGTCCATGGTTAAACTTTGATGTTCACTTTGATCTCCATTTCACAATATTTGTGGACCATGGATAGACACTCCTCTTCAACTATAGAATTCTATTTGATTAGTTAAAACCATCTACATTATTCTCCTTTTCTCTGGAGCACTTATTTCTAGTTGTTTTTAAATTCTGATTTCTGTATATTTTATTTAGATTTTACCACGAAGAATAATAAATACACAACATGTAAACCAACAAAAATATAAGTAAATATGTGAGTTAGCTTGAATGCTGATGTGAGAGACCCAGACATGGCATCTGACCGTGGTCCACAGCCACATTCCCCAAATTAAGAAACGTCACGGATTGCAGATATTATGACAAAAAAACAGCTGAGGTTTTTGTGCGTAAGATGGCCGCCACCACGTGTTCGTATGCTGAACGGCGGCCACCCAGATACATGCACAAAATACCGATCGTACCAATTAACCTGAGGTTAGAGAAGTGTGAAAGCCTAATAAGGTGCACACTTCTCTCTGGGGTGGTCTAATGGTTCGGTAGTTTTCATTCGTATGGAATACGGATGAAAACTACCGAACAATCATACGAATGCTACATACAATTTTAGCTATACAGGAAAATAAACACACAAATTGCATTTTTAACACAGCCTTTGAGGACAGCCTTAAAGGACCACTCTAGGCACCCAGACCACTTCAGCTTAATGAAGTGGTCTGGGTACCTGGTCCAGCTAGGGTTAACCCATTTTTTAATAAACATAGCAGTTTCAGAGAAACTGCTATGTTTATTAATGGGTTAAGCCTTCCCCTAATCCTCTAGTGGCTGTCTCATTGACAGCCACTAGAGGCGCTTGCGTGCTTCTCACTGTGATTTTCACAGTGAGAGCACGCAAGCGTCCATAGGAAAGCATTGTAAATGCTTTCCTATGCGACGGGCTGAATGCGCGCGCAGCTCTTGCCGCGCGTGCGCATTCAGCCCAGGAGGAGGATCGGAGGAGGAGAGGAGGCAGAGAGCTCCCCGCCCAGCGATGGAAAAAGGTAAGTTTTTAACCCTTTCTCCTTTCCAGAGCTGGGCGGGGGGGGTCCCTGAGGGTGGGGGCACCCTCAGGCACTATAGTGCCAGGAAAACGAGTATGTTTTCCTGGCACTATAGTGGTCCTTTAATACCATCCGCTACAGTACCAAATGTTACATTTCTGTGTTTTGATAAAACTAATGCTAATTAATATATTAAATCATCACAAATACCGGCAGTGTTTCCAATAACCAATTATCTCTTCTTCTCCTGCAGGTTCTTACGATGGTGGTGCAAGAGGTTTCAGAGGATGGCCTTGTGCTGTATCCATGGCGACGCCCAGCCCTGATGGACAACAGGATACAGAGGGTCAAGAGAGCTTGGGTGATTCCAGTAATCAGTGTGGCAGAGAATGCCAGGAATATCCCTTTGCTGCTAGTACAGGTATGAAATAATGGGCAGTGGTCTGTTTTGGGATTGGGAGCAAACTCCCTCCCGATGAGCACATTCCGTTGAAAAAGGCACCATTTTGGTTGAAGTGAAGGTCAAAGATAAAGTTATCAGGGCTAGAAAGATAGACAGAGAGAGCTAAATCGTAATACAGAGACGTACTGCATTGGGATCTCTGTATAGCAGCTCTGTGTAATCTATCACAGTGATCCTGGCTGTGTGGGATAGTTATGGTATCTCCTTATTATGCCCAGCACTGTGTGTTATTTATCTGTATTTTGCTCAACTCTACCTGTTGTATGGGTATCTCTATAGTCTGCACAGGTCTGTGTCCAGCTTGTTTTATTGTATGAGCATCTCTGTATTATGCTCAGCTCTGTGTATTGTATGAGTATCTCTGTACTGTATAAGGAGGAGTCTGGCTCTCCACCATCTTAAAACTTCACCAGCCGTCACTGGGTATGGTGCAGATTGAAGATAATGGACTCAAATAAATCTTAGCTGGACCCATAAGACGCTGTAATAGACAGTGTCGAGCGGGATATCCCCCACCGACTGGAGTATCACAAATTAGGGAATCGAGGTGAGCAGCCGGCCACATGTAATGCCGTCCTGAAAAACACCTGATCAGTGGCAGTCCAAAAGGTTCCAGGGTACCCTTCGAACCATTATAGGCCAGTCAGATACAGAATATGTCAGGGTAACTTGCTAATCAGGCTTAAAATCTCAGAATCTGAGGTTCCGCTCCAACAAGGGACCTGATTGATCAGCATTCAGCCCCCTCATCCACCATGTTTTCCTTGGCACTCTGCTGATGGGCATGATAAGGTCTGTACTGTGGTTTGTACCATTCCTACTACAGGGGAGATACATAAATTAGCTAATCTAGCTATTCCTCCTTGAATACACAGAGATTACAATAGAGGGATTCAATTCCAAAACATATCCACACTACAAACACTGGGGAAGCATTTTTCATGTGCTGCTCAACAGCATACATAAATGAATATCGAGGGAGCATGGAGGGTCTGGCTATATTGCACACGAGTAGGTTCCCCCCTTAAGCATTTTTCTCACTTGATATTGGTTCAGTGACTTCAGCTCCACTGTCTCAACGACAACTCAGTAGAGGTCTCATAACGTTTATACCATCTGGGAAGTAAAAACAGCAGCGTTATGGTGGTCAGACTTTTATTACGCTGTTTAACGTCTGGAGACTGCAACACTGTCTGCTTTCACATCTCTCGGGGAATAAAAATGCCTGATCTTGTGCTGTACTGAGATGTTTTCTGGATAAGTCAGCTCTGCAAGTGGAGTACCACCAGGTATACATCCAGTGCTGATCACTCTTTGTTTATAAGTCAGGTGTGAAGGTGGAGTACCAGCAGGTATACACCCAGTGCTGATCACTCTTTGTTTATAAGTCAGGTCTGAAGGTGGAGTACCAGCAGGTATACACCCAGTGCTGATCACCCTTTGTTTATAAGTCAGGTGTGAAGGTGGAGTACCAGCAGGTATACATCCAGTGCTGATCACTCTTTGTTTATAAGTCAGGTGTGAAGGTGGAGTACCACCAGGTATACATCCAGTGCTGATCACTCTTTGTTTATAAGTCAGGTCTGAAGGTGGAGTACCACCAGGTATACATCCAGTGCTGATCACTCTTTGTTTACAAGTCAGGTCTGAAGGTGGAGTACCAGCAGGTATACACCCAGTGCTGATCACTCTTTGTTTATAAGTCAGGTCTGAAGGTGGAGTACCAGCAGGTATACACCCAGTGCTGATCACTCTTTGTTTATGTCAGGTGTGAAGGTGGAGTACCAGCAGGTATACACCCAGTGCTGATCACTCTTTGTTTATAAGTCAGGTGTGAAGGTGGAGTGCCAGCAGGTATACACCCAGTGCTGATCACTCTTTGTTTATGGAAACACCAGTGGCGTGCCTTCAGCTTGGGACAGGTGTAATGTGACGGACAGATACTTGGAGCTCTGAGGTCGTAACCTGAAAATGCCACTACTGCAAATCATCCCTGGTATTCTCAATCTTTCATATTATCTCATGATTAATCTTCAAAATAATCTGCAGTTTTTCCAATACACTGCATTGTCCAAGTTCAAGCGTTCAGTATGTGAGATTTATTACTTCTATACAGAAGAACTTAAGTATAATTCTAGTCTAGCTAGAAAATGACAGATACCCAGGACAATACTGCCATCTAATGGCAACATCTGATATAGCAGTATTTACCATATGTCCACTCAATACAGAAAATTGTTCCCCATTTCCCCAGTCAGGTGATTGTAATGCAGATAAAGATTAGGGTTTTAGTAAATTTTCAATGCTGAAATAGTTCAACTAAATTTGTTCTAATCATGTGAAATCATTGATCGCTGTTGATGATGTCTGCTTCTTGCTCTCAGATTAAGTCGGACAAGCAGCACCTCGGCAGTGTGATCTACAGCATCAAAGGTGCTGGTGTAGATGAGGAGCCAAAGGGTATCTTCACCATCAATAAGAACACGGGGGCTGTGTACCTCAATGCAGTGCTGGATCGCGAGAAAATGGAGCGCTTTAAGGTATCATAAAACTACACACATGACTGACCCTAAGGTGTTTTAGGCTGTCTGTGAAATTGTCTCTCTTAACTCTCCCGGTTTCTTTTTCCTCATTGACCGCAACTTTCCATTTAGCATAAACAGTATGATAGGTCTAGACATATCATTGACATACAATTAAACAGAGCTTGAAATACTGAACTTCTGGCCATTAGAGATTCTACTACTTCTTATTCCATGTTATAGTTCCCTGGAAATTCTAAAATTCATGAAATGTATCAATCTCTCATGGAAGTTAACTGGATCGATTATTATTATTATTGGTATTTATATAGTACTAACATATTCCACAGTGCTTCACAATATTATAAAAAGGGGGAATTAATACATGAGACTATTACAAAATGTTACAGAACAATAGGTTGATGAAGACCCTGCCCAGAAGAGCTTACTATCTAGAGGAGGTGGGGTATAAAACACAATATGATGGGCATTGAGGGGGATCACAACCAAACAACAAGATGGGAAAGTAGCAGAACTGGAGGTGAGAGTGGAGTGTGGCCTTCTCAGAGAGAGTAAGAGACAGGTTTGTGAAATAGAAGTTATTCTGTCAGGAGGCCATAAGCTTTTATGAAGAGATAGGTTTTGAGAGACTTCTTAACTTCTCTAGGGGAGAGTCTGCTGGGGGTAGGCAGGCTGTTCCACAGGATAGGAGCCACCCATGAGAAGTCTTGCAAACGTGAATTAGCAGTAAGTGTGTGAGCAGCGGACAGGAGAAGGTCGCTGGCAGAACGGAGAGACCAATAAGGGGTGTACCTATGAACCAATCATGGCAGGAATGTGCATGACCAGCCTGTTTAAAGCAAAAGCCATAAAAAAACAACAAAAACAAAAGCAAAACTATAGCATCGAATATAAGTGAGCTAACAGGAGTACAGTATATTTAAATAAGAGATTCATTCAATTTGTCTACCGTACAGTATTCATCCAAACATTTTGGATTCATTACAAACGCTGAATAATAAAAAGACACTTTATAGGTTTATCGTTGGTAGGAAAACTGTCATACGCCTCTGACTGTCACTAATTAACTTTTCATTCTATGGATTACTTTCCAATTGTTTGCATGTTATTAGCTTTAATTTAAAGATGTGTATACGGAGAGAGAGAGAGTAGCTTGATACTTGCATCATTACGTGATAGACCCTTCACTACCTGACCAACACTGCTATACAGAATAAACTTATTTACATGGCCTTTTCAGGATGTAGCATTGGCACATTCTTGTCCCATACAAGTGTCCAGATCTGGTTACACCTCTCCATCTACTCACGTTACATTTTCCTCTTTTTACCAGCTTCGCGCTTTCGCAGTGGATAGTGGAGGCGTTACTTTGGAGGAGCCGACTGACTTAGAGATTGTGGTAATTGACCAGAATGACAACCCTCCGATATTTTCACAGAAAGTCTTCCAAGGTCATGTTCCAGAGGGAGCAATACCTGGTAATGTCGGGGTATTCAAACTAGGTGACTGAGGGTGAAGTGGTAATGATGCACAACGTAATGTCTCCTCTCAATACACCATGTTTGTCCAGGCACGCTCGTTATGACTATCAAGGCTACGGATGAAGATGATCCACAGACAGACAATGCGGAGCTGAGATATACCATCATCCAGCAGGATGGTCCGCAGATGTTCAGTATTAACCAGGAGACAGGCGATATCAGGACGGTTCAAGTGGGACTAGACAGAGAGGTACATTATGGAACCCTGGCCAAATAACGTGATTTTATCTGTGTGTTAGGGACAAATATAAAAAGTTTCAAGTCACCTTTAAGAATAGCACCTTGAAAAGAATTTGAATAGTTTGATGTAACATGGTGTTCTTTCTCAGATGTCTACAACATGGTTCTCGTTCCATTTCAGGTGGTCGAATCATACAACCTGACTGTACAAGTGGCCGATATGATGGGGCTGGGACTCGCCAGTACTGCCAAAGCTGTCATAATCATCGATGATATTAATGACAACGCTCCCGAATTCACACAGGATGAGGTATAGGAGCAAACATGCATGAAGTCCCAATATAGGCATACGTGTGAAATGAGTGTGTCTGTTTCATAGACGGCTGTCAGGTCTCCGAAGTTGAGCAAGTGGATAATTACAGGTGGATCATTCAGTGCATAAAACAGCTCTCTACCTTGGTACATATACTAAACTATGTGTTCCTGATGGGCGTAATCAGATGCATCTGCACCTGCTTAATTCCAGATCTTATTGGTATTCGGTAGTAAGCAGTGATAAGTACTTGTGAGTAAGAGCTTTATCTTGGAGTTATTTGGTTAGGAGTATTGTTTACATGGGTAACAAACATTATTGTAAAATTACCCCAAATAAAGGGCAGAGATTGAGAAACTATAGTTAATTGTAATTAGGGATTCATAAACAAATTGTCTTTTTTTGTGTGTTTCTGGCAAGGAATGCATAATATTTTAATGGAAAAAGAACGTACTGTTTCTGATGTTGTATTAATAGCATGATTCTCTCTGTCTTCCAGTTCTTCATGGAGGTCCCGGAACACAGCAGTGGTTTGGAAATTGGGAGAGTAAGTGTGACTGACAAGGATCTCCGCGGGTCCCCCAACTGGAAGGTGCAGTTTTCTATCACAGGTGGAGACCCCCATGGTGAATTCACTATACGCACAGACCCCGAGACCAACGAAGGAGTCCTTTTTATCATTAAGGTAACATCAATGTATATCACTAGACTAGTACCTTCCAAATTACCTTCAATTAGTCATCCCGGAGCAGGGAATATGAGATAGAGAAAACACTGATAGGTTTGTTCACTAAAGTCAACATTGTTAAGAATTCAAAGGGAATTTGAGATTCAAGGACAAAATAACCGAACCAGTAAAATTCTACAAGTCAACGATGCTTCCATGTCAGATAATTTGGCCTTGAATTTAAAATACACTTTGAATTCCTGGGGGTGCGTCATTTATCGGTGGACTGGTGCTAGGAAGCAGCCACCTCCTTTGTACATTCTCTAGTCTAGGCTTCGAACCCTGGAGCTGCTGTCTCCTTTAGATCAGGCCTGACACGAATTTAGCCAGCTTATAAAGAAGCACAGTCTCTATTACAAAGTTAAGTATCACCACGGAAATAGAACTTCTATTATATGCCGATTTCAGGAGTAGCTCTTTGTTTCCCCGGAGGAGCTATAGATTCATGCAGCCGTTGGGCAAGGCTCCACCCTGTATTGGTACTTTCTTAATCTTTTGGAGTGTTGACTTTCTGATGGTGGGGGAAAAAAGTTTTATGGAGTAAACTTTTTAATTTTGTTGTAAAAATCTTTTGGAATTCATGTGTTGGTATTCACTGAATCTCACTATGAAATTCTTCTTCTCTCAAGCCCTTGGATCATGAAGCGAAGGAGTTTCATCAGCTCATTGTGTCAGCTGAAAACCAGGCTCCGCTCAGGCCATCAGCCCCCAGAACTTCTCGCTCTCAAACTCTAGTGACCATCACGGTAAAGGACGTCAACGAACCTCCATTCTTCCATGAGAACCCTAAGATAGTGAGAGTGAATGAGAGGACCCCACCAGGAACTGAGATCACGGCATTTACGGCAATAGATCCTGACGTGAAGGAAGTCCAGGAGATCAGGTGAGCAGCATGCATCTATTATTGTATGCAAGTTAGGTGAAGGGAGGGATCTAGGCTCGTAGCAGTGAAAAGCAGGATTTGGAGTAATGAGATTGCAGAGATTAATATACGTGGAATTTTGCTATTCCCTCGAATTTGGCTGAATGGCATTTCAGATGTGGAAGACTACATTTGAGTGATGCTTAAGGTCAGTGGTCAGTGTTCTGGAAACATACGGAAGTACCGCAATATCACTTGTGGTGCTTCCGTATGTCACTTGTGAACATACAGAAGTACCGGAGTCACTTCATTGATTGGCAGGCTAGTGACCGAAGTCACTTCATTGGTTGGAAGGCTAGTGACCGAAGTCACTTCATTGGTTGGAAGGCTAGTGACCAAAGTCACTTCATTGATTGGCAGGCTAGTGACCGAAGTCACTTCATTGGTTGGAAGGCTAGTGACCGAAGTCACTTCATTAGTTTGGAGGCTAGTCTAAAATGTCTCAAATGGAGAAGACTGGGTGATGACAATGTCCAATGGCCACTCACAATTCTACACTTTATCTGTGTGAAGGTGACTGACGATAGACTGTAATCTGGTTCATCTCAGTCCAAGTCTCACTGAGTCATGAAACTTTCAAATGGAATTTAAGACTACTGCAGAGGGCACCCCAACATCAACTATAGACTGTTTCTGTATGGACAATCTAGTTCCCGGTTCTCTGCAGTACTTCGATTAGCCACCACTGAAACAGAGGATTCATAACTGAAAAATTAACTGTGGCCGACATTTTCCTTCCTTATTGGCTGCTCATTTACTACCTTTGTAGCCGAATCTGAATCAGGATAATTGTTTGGAAATATACCAGCCTTGGGTTATCAATGCATAGTGGGAGTTGTAGCTTGAAAACTGCTGTGAATCTGTGTTTTGCCCACCTCTATCTATTCCCTTTAAAGTATTATTGCATTGAGCTTCTTGTCAAGTACTTTAAATTTGTTATAAAAACCATTAAATATTCCAGCTTGAAAAAGTAAAAGTCTAATTTCCAACATTTAATAATCTATTCAGCACAAAGCCCAAAGTTGCCGCATTCTGATGGTTATAGTAAGACATTGTAACCTACCAGAATGACGTGTCCACTGTAATTTCACTTTGAATTCCTCAAGATGTATGTTCAGTGATAATCTATACTAGAGATGGCTTTAATTAACTACACATTCCTAACATGCCACCAAGTTATGTGTGCTCTGCATGACGTCAAACTTGAGGGCATCAATATAGATCAAGTGGACCTAGTCACCGTTTTAATAAAACCATTTCTATTCTGTGTAATTATAAGTGCTCTGAAATACTCTTACAATATTGACAGAACATTTTGAGCAATAATACCGGAGAGACTGGCTGAGTCACATGACTTTGGGAAAATTCTGGAGATGTCAGGTCTGCATTAACAAGATTACAGCATAGCCAGTGATGGCTTGGTATGTTGGCACTTTGCTACTGCAGACCAATGAATGAATAGGCTATTTGAATGGAACATTTTAAAATGACATTCCTGGCTGGAGTTGACAGTTCGTTTATTTTTTATACAACAAAAGAATACATTAAAATAAATAATATGTTCAAATTCAAAGTTCCTTCATTTGCTGCAAATTCCCATTCGGAGGAAATCCTTCAGCTCTTATTTAGCGTTCTTAGCACTTCTAAGCTTATCACAAAAGCAGTGCTTTCTGGGCACCACAAGGGTTAGCTAATGGTAACCTAACATGGGCCCTAAAGTGGTGGTTCCTGAAGTAATAACCCTCCGGTGTACCCATTGAGTGGAGCAGGGAATCTAGTTTATAAATACTGATGTGCCCTCCATTACACTGTATAAATTAATGGGTATTTATGTGGGTGGTTTTTTTTATTTTCTCTTGAAAAATCAATATTAACCTGCATGTCACAAATGTTTGGTTGTGTTTCATGTTTTTTAGTTATGCTCTGGTTTCTGACCCTGCGGATTGGTTGACCCTGGATGCAGTTTCTGGATGGATACATACTCGATATACACTAGATCGGAAGTCCCAGTTCCTGCAAGGCGGATGGTATACAGCCCTGATCACTGCAACGGACAATGGTAAAAAAAACATGAGCCTGGTCCCATGAAGCCAAATGTGATCACAAGGGGCTCTAGTGATGTTACTTATGTGTGTTTTGTCAGTATGTACCTAGTGATCTTTCTTGTGCTTCCAATAGATTGAAATGAGTGCGCAAGTGGGTTCGGTCATGGCAGTGTATTTAAAGTGACGCTCGTCACTATAATAGTGCTACATCCACATACCAATGCAGCAGCATTTTAAATGTTAATACTTGAGAGTTATAGAGTTAGTTGGCTGAGAATTCTGAGGACATGAGTTTACATTGCAGGGTACATTCCTATACCTGTAATCTATCCACTTCGCAGACCACCACTGCCTTTGCAGAAGTTTGGCAGTATTCAGTTTGTTTCTTAAACTGCTCTATCTATATTGTAAAGATGGCAGTCCTTATAAGCCAAGTATAACAGCTCTGTGTTCTTGTGAATGCATTGCCTTATTAATGGCACTTGAGATTTTAAAGCTAAACTTGTTAAAGCACAGTTGACATTACAGGTGTGGGATTAATACCCAGTCCAATAGCATCTTTTCAAATGCACAATGTTTCTTACAGTTTAATTTATTTTGTATGTCTGGGTACAGCCAGAGTATACCATGCAAATTAACCTATCTTACACAGTGCCATGTAGGCATATGACATTATTGAAGTAATGTCAGCCTACCCTGGACATTAGAATTTTATTTTAACTACTCACCCAAGGAAGTGCTTCAATACTGGAGTATAAAAAAATGACGGCTCTGCTTTAAAGCAAACGGTGATCTAATATTTCCTGTTTTATCCTCATAGCTACACCCCCACGCAGTGCCACCGGCACCCTGTCTGTGGAAGTGCTGGAAGTGAATGACCATGCCCCCGTGCTGTGGCAGTACTCCAGGGAACTATGTAACAAGCCACAACAGGGCAATGGGGTCTTAATAAGTGCGACCGATGAAGACTTGCCACCCCAAGCCCACCCATTCATCTTCCAGCTGGAGCCATCGTTCACCGAACTGACACTTAACTGGAGCATCAGCCATGTCAATAGTAAGTAATGAATGCCAAGAGAACAGGAGCAAGGGCTTGGGAGCTCTTCACTTTTTGCTGCACCACATCTGTTGTAGAATCTATAAGGGCAAGGACGACAGGTTTTCATTTAATCTTTAGAGCCAAATATTGTCAGTTTTCATAATGAGCAATTTGCCATTGGTAAATACTGGGTTTTAATGGATGAATCACTTTGGCAGTGCAATGAAGGTGTATTACGGTAATATTCTCCTTTCCAGGTACCCACGCTCTGTTGGAGCTTCTCTCTGAAGTGCAGGAAGGTGTTTACGTTCTGCCTTTGCTGGTGGCGGATTCTGGAGAGCCGCCCTTGGCGCAACTACAGCTACTGAACATCTCAGTGTGCCGGTGCGATGCCCTGGGCTCCTGCCAAGGAACCGCAGCCGCTCTCTTTAACAGTGGGACAGGGATCAGCCTCAGTGCTGTACTCATTATTCTGGGCAGCATCGCCCTCCTTCTACGTGAGTATAAAAACTATATATATATTTTATAAGCATGTTGTTAGCGCCCTCTGATGGTTAATCTGTGTAACATAATTTAGGCCAGCATCCCATGTGGTGCACGGTTACACCACCTTGATCCAGAGTTTATATCAAATGTCAGCTTTTCTCTCAGTGCACTAATGGTGTGAGAAAAAAATACAGCAATTATCACTGACATTATGGCTATGTCCAACTTATGTTTGGGTGACTAAATTTAAACATTTAACACCTTCATTACCAACCCTGCACATTCACAGACGGGATTTGTTTTGCCATCATTTTCTTTTGACTACGCTTACATCTTCTGCCAGTCCTGAAGCTGGCAAACAACACAGTATTAATTCCAAGACCCATTAAGTCACACCGATTGTAGATGTAATGTTATCTCAGAGATAATGGGCCCAGTGTAACAGCATCATAAAGTGTGAATGGGATGGAGGATTCGATTGCATGCTCTTAGTAATTTTTAGAACTGCTGCATGTTATAAAGAATGTTTCCAATGCAATGTTCTAAAACTTGTACCGATGAGAAAGTTCTCATTACACAGAAAATTGCCCCATAATTATTTTTTTGTAGATAAACCCAATGAAGACCTTTAATTTCCCTTTCTGCTGGCATTTTTGGAATCTACATTTCCAAATATATCCTCAAAATCTTTATAAATACTCACAAGTAGAGTGATTAAGATATTCTTTTTTTTTGTATGAATGTACATAAATGTATTTTAGCCGTAAGCCACAGGTAGAAATGTGCTATGTGAACATAGACTCTAATAGTGAAATCTGGTCCAGCTTGTTTTACTGTTTTCTGTTCTTCTAAATGTTTCCTCCATTAGTAACCCGATTCCAGCCGAGTAAAGTAAATGAATAACAGGAGACAAAACTTGTTTAAATAAAATAAGCCATTTTTATAATTTAAAAAGTAGTAACAAGTGTTCTCTTTGGAAACAGACACATGGTTATCTAGGAGACATTTTTGTAAAACAATCTGCACTTTTCTCAGAACTTGTAGTGTCTAAAAGCGTAACCCTCTATTATAGGAAAATAATCATTGTAATCCGTTTCTTTTACTGGTTTGTGGACAGAGTAACAAACACGATCATAAATGGTAAATAACCTCTTCCTGTGGTTAAAGCAGACCCATCACCACAATAAGATTTTACATTTAACAGCAGAATGTAGCATTAGAATTTACATTTTAATAATTTATTTTAGTTATTATTTATTTCTTGATCATGGTTTTTGTGGGAGTTATGGGGCATAATGAACAAGGTCTTAAGACATAAAATCATTGTCGGTTTTAGAAAAAGGTAGAATAATGAACCGGGCAAAATTGACATACATATAAAAGGTAGTGGGTGAGTGGTGGAGGCCTATTGGAGAAGGTTTGACACCCAGAATTAGAATGACCAGTCTAAATGTGTCCCAGAACCTCCTCCAGGTATAGCTATGGGTACCTACCGGATAGTTAGTACACACTGCTGTTCTCATGCCATATTGATGGGACAGGCCTGCTCTCATTGTAAAGTACTGACTCTTCATGTTAAAGACATCATGCACCCAGTGTAGATCTGTTTCTACATTAAAATATCATTCCCATCCACAGTTTTGGCGCTGCTCCTGCTCCTATTCCGTTGCGCCTCGAGTGGTCGTGGAGAAAAAGGTTTGCTGTCCGACTCAGAGGATGATGTACGGGACAATATATTTAACTACAACGAGCAGGGAGGAGGAGAAGAGGATCAGGTATTTTATTTTACCAGAGTTTAAATGCTGGAGTAGTAGCCACACACAGGAAATAATCGAATAGCAATGCATATTTGTATCAGATGTGATTTCTAAGCATAATCTAATGTTGTACATATTTACCATCAGTAGAGCTACAGAACCTGGCTAATACTATTTGTCTTGGACATTCCATATCAGAATACTGTCATACAGCACCTTCTCCATTCTCATCAAGTTATTCGGTAAATTCAACACCGAACATAACTATGGGATTAACATTCACTACACTTCAGAGTCTGATAGGGAGAAAAATTAGGAAAAACTAAAATCACTATATATAATTAAAATATTAAGCTAAAAGGAGAGCTTTTTTTAAAGCAGCTTTGCAGTATTTCATATAGGTATAATCTTTATAAATGAATGATGCCGACTATTTTGGAATTTCATTAAAATTCGAACAAAATCAAAAGATGACATAAGACAAAGTATACACAGACTACTTTGTATTATGGTAAAGCCTGGGGTTCACCACTAACTTTTGTCCAAACCCAGCAGTCATCACAAGACATGGTCTGGCTCCTGTGGACTTGCAGGACACTCCATTTAAAAAAAATAATTCTGGGAAGTGGTACTACCTGGGTTCATTCCACTTTAGTTGCAATTCACTCCTACCAATATGTTGGCATTTTTTGAAGACTGAATGTTAGCAAGTTACATCCAAATGTAAAAATTCAAGCTACAGTACCCTATATGGAAAAACATAAATATAATCCCAAATTGGTTAATATTAGCCTCAATTTTCCCATTAGGATTTACTGACTAACCCTGACCATGTGCTGCAGTGCTCTGTATATAATGGATGCTCTGTGTAACTGTACTTACTATACGTTGGGAAAAAAAATTGCGCGTAGTTTTTTGTACATTATGTATATGGCGAAAATGTTTTTCATTTTAGGTTTAGATTTCTAATGCAGCCTGACAGATTGTAACACAATTATATTGCCCAAAAATGTTTGTAAAGTATAAACAGAGGGAAAAAATAATACTTTTTTGTAATTGAAATAGCAGTTTTATGTTGGCTCTAAATAATGTGCTAGTGTTTTGTAGTAAATATATTTGGCAGTGAAAGGGTTAAATTAGGTTTATCAGAAGGCACCTAAAATAATATCACCATCATGTTTGTGCTTAGACGACTGTTATATAAAACAGTTTTAGAAATGGGCAGGGGGAATATTTGAATTTGTCACTATGCCTTTATTTTGTCCCCTATATTATAAAGGATGCTTATGACATGAACAGGCTTAGGAACCCAACAATGCCAGTGCCACCATCTCCACGTCTGAAGCCCCCTATCCGCAGAGACACCCCCTACAACCCGACACTGCCACGCTACCCCCGCAGACCCTCTGAACGTCCATCTGACATCGCAGACTTCATCCATGATGTGAGTATTTCTCGGTTTACTCTCGACCTACACCTCCGGTTCATTTCTAGGTTAAAGATACTAAACTTGCTGTTATTTACATGCAGGGGCTACAGGCAGCAGATTCTGACCCCAGTGTCCCACCTTATGACACAGCACTGATTTATGATTATGAAGGCGAGGGATCAGTGGCCGGAACGCTTAGCTCCATTTTGTCTAGTGAAGAGGACAGTGACCAGGAGTACGACTACCTGCAGGATTGGGGCCCACGATTCAACCGGCTGGCAGATATGTATGGACACCAGTGATTGTCAAACCATTCCCAAAAGAAACCTCTGCAAGGACTTGGGACCTCCATCTCACGTGTGTTTAGACTTAAACCAGAGACTGTATGAGAGGTGGAATGCCAAGGGACATCGCATGAAAGGTGATTTGTTTACAGAACGGGTGACATCAATTGATAACTGGACTTTATGACCTAATTGCTATGCATGTCATTTTTATGACAGTAGGGACCCCCCTTAACACAACAGTGACTTAGAAAGGATGTTGCTGTAGGTTGTGGATTCAGCACTATCTATTTAGAAATACTTTGTTTACAGCCTGACAAACAACCTTATATGATTTAAAGCAACACTTACTAGTAGGGACCACAGTGTGACTCCATCAGCTGTAAAATAACTCATATCTCTTAAAACAAATGCAGTAGATTTATTGCTACATTAGACAGATCTATGCAACACTAGACTTTTCCCTGGAGAGAAATCCAACTTCTCCATTTCTCCCCAATGTTGAGGGCAATGGGTCCAAGTTGGTGTAAGGCAACATTATAAAGAAATACGTATTGAGTATTTGGGATGCAGTATTTGGCAATCAGATCACGTGCTGCCAATAGCATCACCTAGTGGCAGGAATGTTGAGTTTAGGACTGAAAATGCACTGTAAGGTGGTGCGAGATGGTAAATGTAAAGAATGGTTATGGAATAGGTACTAGTAAAAAAGTGGCAGTGCATTGTTAAATACTGCATGATTGGGAATATATCCTGAGGAATAAAGCTTTTTTTTTTTTTAACAAATCCATTTATAAGTACAATAAAATTCTTGTGCTCCTTAAAAGTACCGTACTGCCCAAGGCCTATCAAAGCAGGATATTGCACACAACTCAGGTTCAATGTTCAGCTTCAAGAGCAACTAATCCTCTGGGTGCACATGTTTGGCCATGTTCAAGAAGCCTGTGCATTGTTTCTGAGCCACGCTCTTTAGTCTTTGGTCAAAGCTTGGTTTTCCTTTCCTTTTTTGGTGGCCACTCTGTCCCTTGTGATCATTTTCTTGGTTGAACTTGCTAGACGGGCATAGCTATCAGGGTTGTAGTCAGTGCGGGCCTTGTTGCTATGACGAAGAAGGGGCACTGAGTCTTGTTTTGGGTGTATGATAAGTGGTGGTCGTCGAAGGCTGTCTCCTTGCCGTAGAGTTTCAGGCAGACTCTTCCTCTTGGTCTCGGGTAATAGGAGGATGCTGAGTACAGAGATAATACAGAACGAGGAGAGGACAACGTGGTGCAAGAAGAAGCCGGCTTTCTGCTGGAGCTCCATGATGGGATATGCAGCCCGACCCACCATACTGAGTCCTATTATAAAACCCAGGCCGGAGCCCCTGAAAGAAGACAACAAAAGGTGACCATGTGAGTGAGCTACTTAAATACTACGGGAGACAGAAAGTGGTAAGGAATGACATTGGGAAGAAGGATGTTGGCCTTACTCACCGGAGAACTGTTGGAAGAACTTCACTTGCATAAAAGATGCTCAGCATTACCACCGCATGGGCACAGAGAAACCCGAGCACAGATATGGCCACTGTCGCTCCAATGAAGAGATCTGAGACAGAGAAGAGAGACAGAGGGGGATGTGAAAAAGACCGGAAGAAGAGAAGTGATTGAGAACATAACATGAGAGACTATGCTAGTCATACACTGGGTCAGAGCAAGGAGCAGGAGAGAGCAGAATCCCGTCAAGATGGTGCAGAGAAAAAGAACTGAGCGACGGCCCCAGAGGTTCACGGTGATGCAGAGCAGGATGCAGGCGAGAATCTCACTTCCAGCTTGTAGGAAATAAGGAATATAGGGACCAAGTGTCTGCAGGTTCCTCACAAAGCAAGGTCTGATTCCACAACCGATAAACCTGGGGATAAAGCAAAGAATGAGAGGACACAACTGAGTTTTAAATCAGTCAGCATTATTTTTTAAATAGGATGATTTTAGTAGTTTGAGGGGAAAATCTGCATATTGGACTAAATAAGATTTTTTTTTTTTTTTTTTATGTAACAACAGGACCCAGCACCAACTGGGGGTTTATTCCACACAAAGAAAAGGCAATGTTTTGGGGTTCAAAGGAGCCATTATTAAGTCATCCTTTCAGCCAAAACACATTTTATAAATTAACCTTGTTACACCCCCTGGCTGTCAGACAAGCAGTCCTGTTACTTAATTTGTTCAGTGGAGCTAAACTCAAGAGGCAGCAATTGCTTAGAGCACCTGCCTTGCAAAGACTTCTCACTGAGCTGCATTGGGAAGTCTGTGATTGGACAGTCACAGAAAGTCTGGGCGGGGTTAGAAGGGGAGGGCTTGCAAAGGCTGCAGACATGAGATCTGCAGATTTTACAAGCGGTTTCTAGATATACCACCATAATTACATACATGCATGCATGTTTTCATTGGGGGAATATATATACTAACTTATTGGGGGGGGGGGCTCTTCCTTTTATTGTATTTAGGCCGTGGAGTGTCCCTTTAAATAAATATTTTTATCTTCGACATGCCTTCCCTTTTCATAGGATGTTTCCCTAATTGGAAATACATACACAGTTCATTCAATGATAGATCAGTGCTAACATGACTCCACCTCACAGCCCATCAATGTCCTCTGAAAGTTGACTTCACAACAAGAAGAGGTCAGTGGCTGGCAATGGGGTGGAGGCATTTCAGCATTTTAACTTACACTGATCTCTGACTGGCTGAGCTGTACACTTCCAGTTAGGAAGACATTTTGTGAAAGGGGGTGGTGAATTTAAGGGGGTATTGTTAATCTGCACCAAGCTGCTCCCTCATTTTTGTATTTTTAAGGGAGATCTAAACAGCATGAATACGCCATGCTGCTCAGTGTTCCTATAATACACTTTGCAGTGTCACCAAATTAATACAAGTTTCTCGTGCCATTCCTCAGTACATACTATAGATATCCCAACTTCTATGCAGGCCAGTCAGTCATCTGTTATAGCAGGACTGTATTCTAGGATCCCGCGTAACTCACATGTTAACACGAGGAGACATTGTTTTCATGGGAAACCAGTGTTATTCACACAAAAAAAAAACAATGAATGAAAAATAACCAAGCCGTGGCCATCGCAGAGTTGGAGAATGTTTCTAAATCTGCACTTTTTGTCAATTTCTGGCTCTGGTTTAACGTTCATTGCAGTTTCACTAGTGATAGCACAGGCAGAAATCCTCTAGTGAGCTAGCTTCAAGAACTCAGTTTGAAGTTACTGCCAGGTTTATATATCTAAAAATGTTACTGGTTTGTTTTCTGGAGATTTTGTGGGATTTCCAAACTCTCTGAATCCCTTTTGCCAAACACTTTGAACACTTGGAACGTTTCCAGTCTGGAGCTACAGGATACATTGTGTTAATCAGCTTAAACATTTACAGTATGTGTTTTCTTTGAAACAGATTTTCATACATATTCAATACGGTGTAAAATACCTTAAATACTCAATAATAAAATGTACATATTTTCATATTTTTTCTGTTTTTTTTTGTGTTTTGATATTTTTTTTCTGAGAATTGCAATAAGTGTTTTGTCTTTTTTAAAAATAAATACATTTTAAAAATATCAGGCTAACCTTTCATTAGTAAACTGGTGGTTATGAAAAGCTTATCACACATTAACGGCACAGAGTCCACGTGGACAGGTATAAATGACTTGCTATAACTGGATATAAATAGCTACAGAAATAGAACACAATGTGTACAGCGTAGAGCAGTAGGTTTTAATCCCTGGGTTGAGACTCATAATTAGTTATAGCCTAATCAGGTCCCAGGGAACTTCGACCAGAGCTGGGTTTATTCTAATTATTACATATATTAAAAAGAAAAAGAGTCGCCTTCTTAATTCCATTTTTGTAACAAATATGTGTTAGAGACGGGGTGAAAGAAGACCTAGGATCCTTCCGCCCTCTTTATCCCTTTATCCTCTATTCATGGTTTCCTGTCTGGTGCACCTGGCTATCGGCGTAGAAATGCAACAAGTGTGTTATGCTCTGTGCTAAAAAAATGGTGCAAACCAGGAAAAGGGGCGAAGGTACCAACGCAATGCCGGCACTTTTAGTACTTTAAAACACTTTTCATACCTAATCCACAGTATTCTGCTTCTCCTCTTAGTTTGCAATGTATGCCCTGGCTGTGACTGGATTGTGAGGTTTGCTAAATCTTTAATATAAATTTAAATGAGAATGGAGCAGCTCATGAGCAAAGGTTGACAAGCATCATAATGTAAACAGGTGTGGGGAATATTGCCCAATGCCCAGGATTTGTAATTCCAAACAGGCAGGTTTTTTGGGAGCCTTGGAGGAGAGTTAGTACCAGGGAAGGGTGCAGATAGCTCTCTTGCTGTCTGCTACTCACTAATGAGAGCACAGCTGCTGGTATTCCCATCCAGTGCCCTGACTTGCTGAGCACTGAAACAGGAAGGGAGTGATTACTGTGGTCTGCATCACCAAGAGAAGCAGACCACACACTCCCTTAACGGACAAAAAAGGATCACACACCTCCCATCCTCCACCCCATCCCTACCTGCAAAAGGGGTGGGCAAAACAGAGAGCAACTATAAGCACTACACACAGCCAGCACACACAGTCACACACTATGGGGGGGAGAAGAGGGAGACGCACTGAAGATTATTCACTGACCTTCAAATTCCCACAATTTAAATATGAATGGAAAACGTCAGGCAAAATGTTGTGACAATAACGGAGTTTGAACTGAAAAAACTGAGACAAACTTTCTCAGAGACTTATAGTTTAAATGTGATGGATCTAAACTAAACACATTCATTAGACTCCCGCCTCTTAGCTGGAATGTGTCCATTTCATCAGAGAACCGAGTGCACAAGGTAAGCCATTTACATTGGAAACCCATTATAATAATAAGGGTTCCTACTCAGAGCTAGGGGTTAATTACTGACAAATATTTCTAAATAACTTGAATTCAGCAAAGGTGTGAGTCATGTCACATCCAGATTAGCATGACACATTCCTAACCCAACACGTCATGCTAAGCAAAAATCCTAAAAACAAACTGCAGATTTCTTTTTCACTTTTTGCAGATATAAAGTGTCCGCTACATACAAAGTCACACATGCAGGCAACTCATTTGGGCACCATATTAGTTAAGGACTTAAATAAAATCAAAGCAGCGATCAGGATCAGGAACTGAATAAACAAAGCATGCAGGTTAAGGAGGGTTAATGGACCAGATCATGCAACAAAACTAAGCTTCACACACACTAAGTACGGTATCTTTTTGTTGGGCACAGATCCTGCTCCCCAAAGAATGCTGTTGGATGCATTTACTGGGGAGGTATGTACCCCGCTGTGTTCTCCATATGGACATGCGTGTTTAAGGGCAACATGCAGAATATGGTGGCTCCTTTTATATTTGGTGCCAGGATGTAACTTAAAAGGCAGACACGATCTACAGGTAGAGCAGTTGTATCAATAATCCATCTTTGCTCACATTAAAACTGGCTGTGTGGTACAATCATCATATGGTCAGGGTGAGTTCTGACACTGGGGACTTACGTAGTGAAGCCAAGGATCAGAGCATTCTTCCAGATAAGACGGGTCCCAAAGATGCTGCAGATGCTGTAATATCGGGGACGCGGATATCCTTCGCAGGAAGCATCTATCTCTGTAATGGTTAAATGCATTGCATGTCAAACAGGTGGGGGGAGATTTTAAACACAGGGAGAAACTGATCATAAAAAAAATAATATAAACTTTTTATTAGGAGGAAATTGAATACACAAGTTATATACAGGGAAATCTGTTACTATTGTTTTCCGTTTTACGGCACTTACATACAATGAGACCTGGAGCATTCACTCACCAGCAAACAGACTGCCCGGGCCGCTAAACTCCTCTGATAGTTCCACTCCATTCGCTCTGGCAAACACACACAGTGATTCCTTGCACCGCTCCAGCTGCTGAGTGGCCAACAGCCAGCGTGGGGACTCCGGGAAGAGCGAGTGGCAACTGTGTATAAAGAGGATCAAACAGTGACTAATGAGTGGGTTTATTCTTGAGTAATGGGGATACAGCTGAAATTGGTAGATGTCAATCACATCTCGTATCATTAACAATCTGGTACTTAAGAACGTGTTCCATAATGGAACATACATTGCTATATACTGTATATGAACAAATGAGATTAATAAAAACTATATTAGTCCCCTATGTTCCAGCTTTCAAGAGGAAGTCACTGATCTGGAAGTTACACCATTGAATAAAACATTAAATATCGCCTATAGTTTGGGTTAACCTTTTCTTCATGAGGTGCATAGTTTTCTTATAAATGTAAATTAAATATTTATGTAAATGAGGAGAAAAACTGAAATATGGAGAGATTTGTCAATGGGTTTTAATTGGGTGCAAAGTTTGAATGTAGAAATACAATCTGTTTCCATGGTGATTACACCTTATGTAGCACTGTGTCCCAGAATAGCACCAGTTTTTGCCTTGATAAGTCTCCCCATTGTTTAATTTCTCCTCTTTCCCTATGCTGATGGTGAGTGATTGTCAGGGAGCTGAGATGGAAACACATAGCGTTACAGGATAAAGTGGTGTGGATTTCCACACTTAACGTTATCTATCAAACCTCACTAATACAGATTTATTAAATAAGGTGAAAAGTAAACACAATATTTAAAATCCTTGGACGTGATTATATTCCCATTTCGATTATAGGAACATTTCACTGGCTATATTAAACAACTTCTGTCTCACGCATATGTAGGCAGGGTTTAAAATCGAAATCAACTAGCCAGGTAACAGCCACCACAAATAAACGTAGGCAGCACTGTGTGATTCACAATTTGTCCAGATGGGGTGTCCGTATGTTTATGAATACACAGGCTTGTGCATACAGGGGTGTAAATATGAGAAGGCAAGGGTGTACATGTGTGGTGGGTCAATGTGTCTGTATGCAGGGGTGCATTTGTATGGAGAATTAGGGTGTGAATGCAGACGTGTATGGGTGTACACGGTCAATGTGTGTGGCCATAAGGGTGGATGTACATATGCATATCAATGCCTCCACCACTTACAATGAGGTAGGTGACTGCATGTAATCTTAAACTTCTTTGGACAGAAAAAAAAAAAAGGGATTGGAGTTTTTTTTTGGTTTGTTTACTTTTTGTGTGTGCTATTGCCTTAATCTGCATTTTGTATAAACTTCTTTGAAAAGCTGAATTCCACTTGTGATTGCTGTTAGAGCCTTTTACACGTTAACATGAGCATCATGGGTTAACAGTGCTCGGCAGAGAGCATGGAATGGATGTTTGCAGCCTGTTCCTGTTTTTGGAAGAGTGAGGCTCTGATAGACTCACAGGATACTGGGGGGGGGGGGGTGTGAATCTTATTTATTTGATGCGAGCTAGACTATACACAGTGTGGCAGTGATCGGCACACGATATGGTGTGAACAACACAGTGTGCAGTCATGGTGTATTTAGGGACCAGGACTCACCACCAGAACAGTCCCAGGAGCATTAAGGTTCCAGTCACGACTCCTTGTAAGAGCCTCCAGTCGGAGCACAGAAATGCCAGACCAGGCAACAGCAGCTCCCCAGCAGCCCAGAAAAACCCTCCGATCATGGTCACCATTAGGCGGTGACATGGAGTACAGAGTTCCAACCCTGGCACAGAAACAGAATTAGGAGGAGACTCAAGGTTTAACCCGTTCAGTGAATGAATTAACTAAAATCTGTTCTGACAGTAAAAGGGTTACACAGTGACAAGGTAACAGGAAAAGCAATGACAGATTGTGCAGATCTGTTCTATCTATAATTCTAAACATGAGTCACTTGCTGGTACATGTAAAGAACTAGATATGGCAGACTAGGACTGGAAACTGACGAGAGATGAATGAAAGAGACATGCAAATGAGAGTAATGGGAGATGAGAGACATAGTGAGAGCTGAAATGTGATCAGAGTCTTTTTCTGGCTCAGAAACTTATTCTGCCTTCCTTTTTACACCAACACCAGAAAACGAAATCATTTTTGGTGCAGAAAGGTACATAAAGAGTAATATGTGGAAACACAAGAAGCAACACCATTGAAAAAATTACAGAAATAGCACAAAAGTAATAAATAGTGGAATAGACAATGAGAAAATAAAATGTTCTCCACTGACACAGGAATCTTGGTGGTCTTATGTTAAACACCGTCACATCATGTGCATTGAGACTGGGTTGATAGGGTTACATCAGACAGGCATACAGAGAGGGAGGACCAAACTCTCACAATATTCTGTGTAATTTCTCCTGTGTGCTGACTCTGGCACATCCCCTCTCAGTCACGATGTCCCAGCCAAGCGACAGCAAACAAGCACACGTCGTCACCTTGAAAAGAGACACCCAGAGCAAACATCCCAGAAAAGGCCTGGGGAGGGGGTGGAGAGACAGACTAGGAGAGAATGTAACAGGAGGGACACTGATGGTACAATTTCTGCTAACAGAACGTTTAATGAGATTTGTTGGCGTTAGAGTTGCTATTTTTCTTTAAGGGTCCTAGTCTGACCGTAAAGGGTAATTGTTCTGTATGTGAGTGCATAGAGTGCATGTTATACTCACTTGCTATGTAGAATGACAGAAACATCCCAGCCAGTGCAGCACTAAACCCCGCTCTGAGGACCACGAAGCTCAGGTATCCAGGTGAGAAGGACAAGGCCAGGCCAAGGGGGACTGCAGTTACCAGGGTTGAAATCAGGGCAGCACGGCGCCCCCATCTGGAAGAAGCAAATAGGTCAGTCGTGGGGACTGGAGTCCGCCCATTTGATGTATTGTATAGCTAGCACATAAATAAAAACTGAATGAAATGAACAATAAACACACTGTCAGTGAGCTCTGCACAACCCAGGAAGCGACTCAGCCAACTTTAGCAGGGCTTCTGGGAGTTGTAGTTCAGCTGTTGGCTTTCTACATCTATCTACAACTCCCAGACACCAAAGAAACTACTTTACGGTAATTAAACACTGTGGGTTCGAGGGAGGAAAAGAAAATGTGAGCTCATGGGGCAAATTATTATTATTTTTTTAATTCTACATATGAATAATATGAATATAAACAAAACACAGCATACCGGAACTGTAAAATAGCCCTCATTGAACATAATGTAGGATATACAGAGACTAAAACTCAAAGCCTAGGATCACGACTAATGTAGGAGAACCCAAAACACACAGACCCTAATCTGCTAAAGGAGAGGTATAATGTATTACCGGGCCTTACGATGGCCGGATTTAACGTATAGAGTAGTCCGGAAGAAAGCCAAGGTGAGTACAGCATAAACGATAAGCAAGCCAAAGCCAAAGTCGGTAACAAGAAATCTAATATAATATTAAGCGCACTCTTGGGTAAACAAGAACCGCAACAGGGCAACTGGTAACTGAAAGGGCCTGGCTTATAAAGCCCGGGAACCAATCTTATTGGTCTGCATCATAATAGGGCACCTAAACTCCCGAATTCGACCGAAAGCCAAATTCAGGAGTTTCATTTCGTGTGAACACATCGGTTCAGCACTTTGAGTCGGCGCAACTCTATACAAATAGATGCACACACGGAGCGCAGCGTCTCGCGTCTGGCCCGCTGCCGGATTGGGGAGCTCCAGAACGTGTATTACACAGGGTCCCTCTGCAGGATGCCGGATCCTGCCACCAATCCTGTCCTGGTACTTAGAAAGCCATGGAATGTAAATGCTGTGGTCAGCAGATAACCTAAACACTCAATGGTCCAAAAACCAATATGAACAGACAGCTGGAAAGAAAACGTCAAAGTAACAAACCCCCAGGTGTAGATTTCATAAAACAATAATACTTTCACAAAATCACCTCCTGCTATACTTTCACTTCTAAACAAACATTCTAAATGTTTCTGGAAAATCTGTCAGTCTGTCTGCCCAAAACTCTAAATTTAGCATGCTCTGCGTCAGACCGGAGGGCCAGGGAGGGAGTGGCGCATATCAGTGTTAGAAATTAAAATAAGAGAATAAACGAATGCTTGTATTTCTCATATCACCTATTTTATTGCCAGATATATACTGTTTGTGGCATACAGCAGGTTTTAAGGCTGTTTATAGGACTTTGTTAACTTATATTTTTTCTCCAAATCTGTGTGACTGTCACATCAGACCTTAGTGTGGGGGTAGGACTGTATGTTTGGCTGTCACATATATCACTAAACCAGGTCTAGCGGAGAAATTAACACACAAGATTACCCAAATATCATAAATTACGTTTATACAGAGGAGCTGCACGCCAGCATAAATAATAAAACCGTGTAACACTGTAACAATGGCAAACAATACACTTTATCTACAGAACATTACTACCGTTTTTCCACCAAAATAAGACATCCCCCAAATATAAGCCCTAACTTGTTTTCGGGGGATGCTCGTAATATTATTTTATTATTTATATAGCGCCAGCAAATTCCGTAGTGCTGTACAATGGGATATAAGCCCTACTCCGAAAATAAGCCCTAGTTGCTAGTTCGCTAACCTTCTTTCTTGCACATGTTTGCTACCGCTTTTCCCCGAAAATTAAGACATCCTCGAGTGTGCCCTAGTGCGTTTTTCAGGGCAAAAATTAATATAAGACCCGATCTTATTTTCAAGGAAAAATTGTATATATGCCAACATTACTAGTATAGCAGTTAACAACCCATGCTGGGTCTCTTCAATCATCTTATGAACATTTGCATAATGGTATATATGGACAAACGCAGCAGGCGGAATTTAGCAGGACTGGCTGAAATACAGAACTAGATAATTCTACAACTGCACACTAATAATCTTCATTAAAAATCACTTTATAGGTCATATAGAATAAAAATAATCTCTACAGCATACAGTATACACACGGTCATTCAGACCTATATTCCATAAGAAACACAAACTCACATTGTACAGTCATGTGAAAAATCAAAACAAGTCAAAATACTGGTATATCAAGCAATCCGTACAAGAGATTAAATACACATTAGTCTGCTTTTAAACGTCACCTTTTGATATTCACGACACAAGGCACAATATTGTTCTTACATCAAAATAAAGGCCTTCTTGTCCATTTAGAAGAATCTATTCAAGCTATCCATTGTTCGTTATAACAGAATATGTTGCAGAAAATGGAGATTTGTGGTTCTCAGCAGAATGTCGCAGTTACATTATGCAACCTATAAGTTTGTTTAGCTGTCACAGAGCAGGTGGCTAGCGATTGAGCCAACACAGAATGCAAAAGTATTAAGTAAACAAAGGAATAAAGAACAATGAAGCAACATTTTAATGCAGAATTTTAAAATAAATATTTAAAAATGGACTTATCACTTTCATAAACGCTCTCCTAACTGCGCCATTGTCATGACCTAATTTATTTGAATATTGCAAAACGCTGCTGCATCGGAACAGCAATATACAATAAGATATTATGAAACATTTAGAAGGTAAAATAGATAATTTAATATATCTTCAGGATCCAGGCTGAAAGATCCCATTTACAGAACAACCGTATCTTGTAATAATTTTATATTAAGGGAGAGATCACTGCCTGTGGTATGGAGCCCATTTATGCAGAGAGACTATAAATGGAAGTACACTATGCAACTTATCACTGCATGAATTTTAGGTTACTCTAAGCAGTTTAACATTACGCTGCCGAAACTCCACCTCCAGCAGTGTCATGGTGCTGTCATTAGATGGCCCGGAACTAGAATTGAATGGCCAATAAATGGCCGACAGCCATGCAGGAGCCAGAAGTCGTCACTGGCCCCTGGACCCAGGTAAGAGGGCAAACTGTTGCAGAACAGTTTGCTGCATTAATGGGAACAGGGTCAGGATACTTTTGGCAGTCGGTGCTTAAAATGCTTATTAAACTTCCTGCTTTCTAACGGTCATTGTCTGAGTATACCACTACAGTGATTTTTTTTGCAAGCTGGAGCAATTTGCATAGCACAGATACTTGTTGTAGCAGTATGAAGTGTATCTTGGCTAGTAGCGGAAGCTACTTTTACTATTTCAATCAAACTTTTGGTTCTGCTTATCAATACCATATCCCAGTAAGAATGTTTAGAACAAACAATTATCTCAAAATTCTAGCTAGGAATTGGAACATGACCGCCTTACATTATTCACTATTACATGGAAATTGCAGGACATTATTAGCATGGAGCACCTCACAGTGTTCCTTCGTGACTTTTCAATATGGGTTAAGAAAATTCAGAATCCGTTGTTACCTGTCACATATCAGTCCAAATAAGATGTACCCAAACAGCATGCCCGTCAGGTTACAGATGTGTTCCAGCGGTACTCTCCACTGATTGGCACAAACCAAGTCCCACTGCCAAAAGAACACAACGTGATTTAGGAATGGATAGAAAGGCAGAGGATCTGTACGTAGTGTGAGCCACATTCCATTACAACATCAACAGAACATTCTCAGACTCCTTGAATAACCATTTTTTCAACTTACAGCCGGGGCACTTTCATACCATGATGCCAGTTTACCAATAAACCTTTTCTTTCTACCTCATTAGTATTATAATTTATATGATATAGCCATGACATACTACCCGGCCCCAGATACACTTGACTAAAGGGACACCAAGTACCATAACCACTCCAAATCTGCAGCAGTTCTAGTGTGGTCGCCGTCTCCATTTTCAATTTAAAACGTGGGCTCTCCTTGCACCCAAAGCCTAGTCTGTCGAAAGCTATCAAAATAATGATAGATTTCACATCCTCGTCAGATGGCCAGTAACAGACTGTGTGGGCTAATGTCCCTTTAAATAAATAGTGGGGGGTTTCAGAGCTGTGCCTTCTAGCACAATATCAGGGCCTCTAAAAACTAGAACCCCGGCTGCTGTAGAACTACTACTCCCAGGATGCTTTTGCCAGCTGTTCCATTTCTGCAGCAGTTTTGATACCATCCTAGTCCACAGATTCTAGTTATCACAGCTGCTCAGGCCTTTCTGCTTTAACACCGGAATAGAAAGGCTTTGTTGATTAAAATGATAGATAGAATTATACATACCCTGATCTCTGACAGTAATAACATGAGGTGTTTACACCAACCTAAAATATCCCTCCCCGAGGCCATTGTGTTATTAAATCTGCTATGGGTGGAGTGACTATTAAAACCCAAACAGATTTCCTTTTTCTCCGTCATAAAAGTAGGACAAAATTAAAGCACACAAAAACATCTGCAGCACACCTTCTCACAGCTAGAGAAGCCCAGTGAAGCTGGCTGGTTCTCATCTCTGAACATGGTTTGAATCTCTGGTTACTGATCGCAGTGCATAGCGTTTAATGTCGGATAGCTGGACCACAGAACAAAAGAAACTAACATTGGACGATGAGAGCAATTAAAATAAATATATATATATATATATATATATATATATATATATATATATATATATTTTTTTTATATAACAAATATAAAACTGTCTCTCACCCCTCCGAGTGGTATTACAGTGTATTCCTCATTCTAGGTCAGGCTTTCCCAAACTCCGGCTCTCCAGATGTTGCTAAACTACAACTTCCATGCTTCTTAGCCTACCCATTTCATTCATAGAATCATGGGAGTAGTACAGTAACATCTGGAGGGCCAGAGTTTGGGGAAGCCTGCTCTAGGTCCTCTGCCAGAGGCCTGGGAGTTTGAGGGCTCTGCGCAGTATCTTAACTGTTCCTAGAGCTGCACTCTTCTGGACAGCGATCTCAGATGTCCCACCTGGAATCTGTTGACGCCGACTTGGGAGTCACAGTACCGAGGGCTCCTATCACAACTGGGACTACCAATGCCTTCACTTTCCACATCCTTTTTAGCTCCTCTTTCAGTCTTTGGTATTTGTCCACCTGCTCATGTTCCTTCTTCCTGATGTTATAGTCACTGGGTATTGTCACATCCACCACCACTGCAGTCTTCCGTTCCTTGTCTACCACCACAATGTTGGGTTAGTTAGCCATTAGTTGCTTGTCTATCTGGATCTGGATGTCCCACAGGATCTGTCATTCAACTACCCTTTCTAGTATTCTCAGTGTCTCTGTACACAATCCCAGCAACTCTGCTGTGCCTCTCAGTGTATGCTGTCCCTGCTAACATCTTGCTACCAGCTACTATGTGCTAGATTGTCTCAGAGGCCTCTTTGTACAGTCTGTACCTTGGGTCCTGTTTGGTGTTGTAGACCCCCACTTCTATTGATCTGGTGCGGAGTGCCTGTTCCTTTGCAGCTATATATTTTATTTTCTTACTGGAGGGTTCTTATTTGTGTTTAGATTACCCAACTCCATTTCAGCACTGAACTCACCTTTATTCCAACAATGGGAGAGTCTCCCCTCGATAGCACCAATCCACCTGCTATAAAGTCATTGTTACTGATGACTTGTATCTAATCCAATCATAGAGAATCATTGGACACACCGCGCATGTTCACCAATAACCACAATCTGCCAATAATGCTTCTCACAGAGAAAAACTCCGTTCCATATTGACCTACTGGAGATGCTAAGGGAATTAAACAAAAAGTGTTGATTTATCTTTGAATCCTCATTCTTATAAACTATGCAGGGGACATGCAGTTAAGCCCTAAGGTGCTTTTCAAGCGGACATGCTGTAGGTAACCGGAACTATCACTTTAATGATAAACAGGATACCTAGATCAAAGGGCTAATCTAAACTAATCCAGGAGAGTTTACGGCTTCACCACCTCTTACAATACAGTCTGAAAGCACATGACATATCATAGCTGAAACACCAAACAACGTATGAGACGTGCATTCTATTATTATTATTTATAAAGCGCCAACAAGTTCCGTAGCGCTGTACAGTAGGTGGACAAACTCAATGAGTTTATATGCTCACTATACCCCACTCCCAGCGGTATTCCAATGGGGAGATCATGTTTTACTATCCTGTATTACACAGTGGGGGACGTCACTGTGAGTATTGATTGGACATGTGTTAATGGGAGTTACATTCCTGGAAAACAACAATCCTAATAAAAAGAAGAAAAAAAAAAAGAGTGATCTAAAACATAAATAACACTGTAGCATATATTAGTGGAGAAAAAGAAAAAGAAGTATCTTTGGCTTCGGGAGCATTGATAAACCCCAGTCTTGTTTCTGACTTCCCAGAACCCCTTGATGGCATTATTTTCCCATAATACAGTTCACCGTTAATGCATCGTCTGTATACTTACACCAAAACAAAAATTCTCCATTCCAGGTATTTTCTTCCAGGTATTTGAATATTCCTGATTAATATTCCACAATTCCTAGAAGTACCCTATATGTAAAACTGTCTCTTTATATTGCCTGGGGATTATAGGACAAGCATTGGGACTGCTATCAGCATGGACTGTGGAAGGGTTAAGGATCCATAAAGGGTTTCCTTTAACGAGGAAAGCATTTAACACGTGTAATATTCTGGAGCCGTACCAGAAGTAGGTCCAGTGAAGTGTGTGCCCAATAATCATGTTACCGGATATAGTAATAGCAGTTTGTATTGCTTGTTACAGAGTGTTAAAGCTTGTCACTATAAAATACTGTAATCCCAATTAACAGAGAATTACTAGCAATCAAAATATTTCTCTAGGTAGTACAAACACACGCGCCTATAAACCCTATTAACTAAGAAACTTTAAGTAAATCAGTAGGTCCTGCACAATGCTGATCCAAAAATACATGATTTCAAATAAAGTTGTCCCTTATTAAGTGAACAAATGAGCTGAATAAAAGTGATAAAACGCACACTGTTTTGGGAAGAACATAGAATAGAGATTTGCTAACGTAACCTTGTTCCCTAAAGAAGAGCCACTTTGGACATTTCTGGAAAATGACCTGTAGTTTAGGGTTTCGGAATTCTGATGATAAAATCTAAAAATAAGAGGTTGCCCATTACTGTTGAATTGATAACCTTTGCCCTATAGAGTTTTTGCTAAAAAAGGTCACAGTGCTCTAATAATGGAATAACGAAAACAGGAATAACTCCTAAAAACACAGGAAACCGAATCTGTAATGTATCATGTTGTGATATAATCTATACTAAGCGCACACTCCATAAAACACTCTGGAATAAAAGCTGCAGAGCTGGTAACTGATGATCGTAGCGATCCAGTTAGCAGCGGCCTTTGTACTAGGAGAGCAAGCAGTGCTCGAAAAGCAAGTGAAGCACTCCCTTGCACCAATTCAATATTTGGTACATAGAACCACTGGCTGAGGTTAACGGAAAATTCCAAGCATTGCAACAAACTATTCAAGGAAGTCTTCCCTTCCCATCTCTGTGCTCAGTTTCTTATTACAATTCTCAAATCACTGCGACTATTAGCCTGACCCTCCAGTACTGGACATCAGAGGAAGTGGGTATACATCTGGGCTGCCCAAAAGGCAGATTACCAGATGCATTAAAACTACAACTTCCATGATGCTTTGCATTTCTAAAGGCATGCAATGCACCATGGGAGTTGTAGTTTTACAACATCTGCGGATCTACCTTTTGGGCAGCCCTGGTCTACATCCTCCTCCAAATACAATGTACATCTCCACCTTTCCTCACTGCCTGCTGCGGATTAATATCTAGAAGTCAGAGCTGACAGCCCTACTCCGGAATCAGCTTAAGGATTACTGTTACGCTATTCCTGATTGGCTGATACACTTCCTGGTCTGAACTTAGCAGCACGCAAAAGAATATTCCCGTCATGTGTCCTTAAGGGGTTAATGCATTAAAACAAATCAGGAAAACTTCCAGCCTGGTTGTAGCCCTTTAACAGACAAATAGCAATTATTCTACTGGTCAGTAGCAACCACGAAGCCCATACAAATACTGAGGAGGAACTACAACTACCATGATGCTGTGCCAGCCTCAAATACTTTCCTTTTCTTTAGATTGATTCCAGGGCATTTAGGTTTTTTGTTTTTTTTTGCAACTTACACAAACGTAATATTCGTCCAAGCACTAAAAACGTAAATGGATACTATACTGCAAAATGCATTGGGTGCACAAGAATTATTACCTCAATGGACTGACAAAGTATGGAAATCCCCAACACATTCAAAGAGAGAGAGATTTACACAGCAATGAAAGGGTTAATCTGCAAGGGACCTAACCAGAGGAACTCATTTTGCAGGAACATTTTCACGCCTGGGTGCAAGTCTCCGGGAACCATTCTTGCAACATCCGTAAGGAATGAAAGACAAACAGATCTTATTTAACGTATTGTACGTGGCAAACATCACCGCCACCAAACGTAACTCCCCCAGCCACAAAACTGCTTTTTAAAAAAAAAAAAAAAAAAAGGTTCTTAGTTAAACTAAATGAATAAGTTGTGAGTGTCTGATTTCTGTGGTTTCTGATGTAGCGGCTCATCTGGGAAAATATTTGGTTAAAATGTATTTAAAGGGTTACATTAACCCATTTTAATCATGGGGTTTCTTTTTTTTTTTACCTCATAATGCTCTACTTGACATAACTTACATACTTGGTCCTCCCACTTAAATTTTGGGTGGGGTGGGCGTTTTATTTACCTGTAATCCAGCGCTGGACGAAACTCCCGGCACTATCCCCCTCCACCATCTGATGCAATGGCAGTCTTCGTCCAGTGCAGCCACAGGCTTCTCATAGAAGAGCCTGTGATTGGACAGTTTTGCGGTCTTGGAGCGCATGTGAATTTCCTTACGTCTGTCACCAGCACACTGTGCGCACTGACAACAGACATTAATATGCACAGAATTGACATTTGGAAGTACGGAACACAGTTTCGGGCTGCCAAAGTCACATGTGCGGCGGTGTAACTAGCCTTCAGCACAAGAGGTAATATATAGCTAGATGTGCACATTTCAAGCAGAAACATTGCACACCCAAACTCCTACCACCGTGACCACTTCAAATCACTGACGTGGTCATGGTGGTTGGAGTAACCCTTTAATTTTTCTGCTTTATTTTGCTGGCTCCACTGCCTCTGCACCCTCTGTCATTCGTGGTCCCCTGGGCCAGAGCTTAAAAACCTCATAAAAGCAAGAGAAATACCTTTAATTTTTGGGGGATGGAGTTCGCAGAATACCCTCTGTCATTCGTGGTCCCCTGGGCCAGAGCTTAAAAACCTCATAAAAGCAAGAGAAATACCTTTAATTTTTGGGGGATGGAGTTCGCAGAATAACTTAATTCATGCAGAAAGAGAGTAAACATGAGTGTTTCGTAATACTCATACTGTCTGTGCAGCGCAATCAAAAGATTTAAGAAAGCAGCGACTCATTTTTCTTACTGTTAAACCTGAAGATGACAAAACGTAATAAAGTCAGAGTTTGTCTTAGGGGTCCCAATACAGACCCCCATAGTATACTCCCGCACATACCTAGAGCACAGCAGAGATGGGGCTCATGGCACATGGAATGCCAGAAGTTGAAGAAAGAAAATGGCAGCACCCATGAGGGGAACTTCATATAATTAGAATTATAACCAAGTGTGGATATGTCATATTTTGGGTGCTTTGCAAATATGCAAATAACTCCAAAGTTGGCAGAGCCTCGAACACAAGGGGGGTAGAGCAAGCTCCTTGCGTCATAACCTATACAAAAACAATAAAACATAACAGTGCATGGAGTCTCTCTATATAATTGCTTGTTGGGACTTTACATTTTAAAAACATTTTTTTAAAGGCACGTTTTATTACACTTAAATTAGCGTTTCTCGACTAATTCCTACACCTTTTAAGGATTAATGACTGTCTATGGTAGGTTTGACGTATATATTGCATCCAGTATCTAGCGTAACATTACCATATCTGGTGGGCACTAACAGTAAAGGCGTAGTGGTTATGGTACAAAGACTATTTTCCGAAACAAATATTTTGTACACATGTAAGAAGGAGAAATGTACTTTTATAATGTTTCAAGCGCAGGGGGTGGGATCTAATGAGAAACTAGAAGAAAGACAACGGACTGCACCCATAACTGCTAACAATAAGCACTACAGGTTATGGCGTTCTGAGGGTTTTTTTGGTTTTTTTTTTATTTTAGATAGAAGGAATATACCAACAAAGCTATTTAGTAAGGATTTATATTACAGCCACCTGCCCAGATATGTATAATAGGTTATCCCAACGCTTGCATGAGTCTGCATGTCTGTTAAAACAGGTATGTACTAAAGGGAACCCTCACTTTTGTTAAAAGTAGTTTATTTTTCTGCCCTGAAGTAGTGAAAGTGTTAAACAGAACTACCCCTACGATGCAATGTGATCCAGAACAAAATGTGCCGTGGTGAATACGGTTAGAATAGAATAATAATAATAATAATAATAATAATAATAATAATAGTGTAAAATAAATGTACCTACCCCTCCATAAAAATATATTCCATACAATGAAATCTAAAATAGAACTTAAAACTATTCTAGGAACACAAATGTATGATGAAAATAAGAGCTGGGGAATTACGGTAAAAGCAGCTGCTGTCTCCAGTTTGGAGTTTAGTGGATCTAACTCTGTATTGACTATATTGACAAAAATAAACAATTTGGTCAGCACAGATTATGGATTATTCAATGTATTTTGTAATTTGCCAACCAGGAATCCGTGTTTAAAGATCCGGGGGTTGGGTGACACAAACCCTAACACCTCCTGTAACTACCCCTGGCTGAATACCCTTGTTGCCCCATGAAATCCCTCCCAGCAGTGAGCCAGTCCAGCATACCAGCCTGTGACACGTTGGCCTGACATACCCCCTGGTCAATGAGAGTCCTGATAACCTGATACTGCTGAATAAAAGTGTGCCAGTGCTGATAGTCTATTGCCCCCAGTTAGATACTGGGGTTATTAAGCCAGTCTAGATGCCCAGCTATTGCCCCTGGTGAAGGTACAATGCCAGTTTAGATGCCCAGCTATTGCCCCAGGTGAAGGTACTATGCCAGTTTAGATGCCCAGCTATTGCCCCAGGTGGCTATTGCCCCAGGTGAAGGTACTATGCCAGTTTAGATGCCCAGCTATTGCCCCAGGTGAAGGTACTATGCCAGTTTAGATGCCCAGCTATTGCCCCAGGTGAAGGTACTATGCCAGTTTAGATGCCCAGCTATTGCCCCAGGCTGGTTTAGATGCCCAGCTATTGCCCCAGGTGAAGGTACTATGCCAGTTTAGATGCCCAGCTATTGCCCCAGGCTGGCACTGGTGGTATTACACTAGTCTAGATACCCACTTACCTGAGTGATAATGTTGTTCTCCAGCCAGCCCTGGGTGTCATACCTCCAACCAGTGGGGCAGCTGTCTGAATGGTTTCCTGGAGGGGCCGCAGTGCTGTTGCAGAGCTCCCTGGTGACCCCAGTGGCCCCTGGGCACTGATACACTGGCCGGGTGGTGTACAAACCCTCAGAGAAGAACCCCAGGGCCAGGGCCAAGCTGGGCAACCAGGTGGCAGCGGCTACCAGCCGAGTGTAACGCCCGAAGCCACCCACCAGGGGCCACACTTGCCAGTCAAAATCCATGGAGAGTGTGGACAGAGAGAGCCTGGAGCAGGGAGAGGAGGGAGGTGGGAGGAGTAGTGGGTGCGGAGAGCAGGCACCCGGAGGAGGAGTTCGCTTGAGAGGGAGGAAGGCATAACCTGAGCCCTAAGGGGGTTTGTGAAAACTTGTGAGGTAACACATTGGGAGTAATGAGGAGCCCTGTTATATCAGTCAGTCCTCTGTCAGCCTTCAGTAATGGGAGGGGAATGGTCTGACACGTGGCCCCCAAAAGCCATGGCTTTATCTCAACAGCCCCATAAAGAGTTAAAGGGGGGGAGGGGGGGGGTATGTAACTTCCAGAGGGGCCACTCCTTGCTGGGGAATGTAGCACATTATAAATAAATAGCTCACATTCTGGGTGCTACTCAGCACTGCTCTATGGCTGCCCCTGTGGGGGGAGATAGTGCCATGGTGCTGGACCAGTGTAATGGGAGCATGTCTGTGTGTGGCCCCCCTCCCCTAACACTGGGTTGTTGTTACATTGTGTCCCTACCAATACCTGGCTACTGTTACTCTCATTCCTTACTCCAATCTAATAAAGGTAAAGCTGCCCCTCCCTCACTGAGTAGTATTTATATGCCCCCAGGTTATTAATGTGTGAGGGGGCTCATGGCTCTCCCTTGGATTAGACTTTAGATTACTGCCATGTGATCTCTTTTTAGAACTAGGATTATTGCAGACTGCATCCCCACTAACCCCAGGCAGCCTTTGCTCAGAGAGGAATAATGGGAGTTGCATTCCAAGTTGAGGCTGACTACCACCAGGCCATGGCAGGTCTGTCTCCATATTAATGGCAGTAATCATTTCTAACAGAAGTTGCAGGTTTATACTCTTACAGCAAGGTGTTACTAGCCCTACAGCACTGGCCAGTAGCCAGGCTTTACAAATAACTTGCCCCTGCAATCCTGGAGGATACATGGAGCACTCAGCAAGGGCTGGTGGAAATTCGAGCCCTGTCTTACAGTCCTGCCCTGGACAAAACAATTCAGCTTAAAAAAGGAAATACATTCTGTGTGAAGCAGTCAAACTGTTGACTATAGCAGATATAGATATTTGTAGAGCAGTTATTTTCGTGTATATATATACACACACACACACCTTCCTATTTGGATGTACAATTACTAATTCAAAGTGAATGTTAAAATGTATTCCACAATAGCTGGTACATGTTGCCAGGCCGCCCACCTTGGCCTTAAATGTAAAATTCACCTTGAACTCACAATTTCCACCCTCTTTTTGTCCCCAAGATAAGGCAATTTAGATTTTCCTTTCTAGGAATCCTGTGATTGTGCAGCAGCTTTGACAAATGCACCATGTTAGTTCCTGTCCATATCACTTCATCATGCTGATATGAACATGAAAAGTGGTGTTAATTGTATGCAGCATTCATACCCTGCAGGATAGGAAACAATGAACTAATTGAGTATTGGCTCTTCCTGTTACAGCATATAATTCTGTCACTGGGCAGCACTTAATATGCAAGACCTATCAGCAGGAAGTGATTTCTGGTCAATAATTTATTTAATATTAATAATGCCCTCCGCCATGGAGTCAGGTAGTGCCTGGGCGCCAGTCCAGGATATTAAAGGGACACTCTAGGTGGCACAAGGTAAGTGCGGTGTGTAGCAAATGTTATGACAATAAACCGCCTTCACAAATGAACAATATTGGCATTAGTAACACAAAAGTGGAGCGTCCACATTAGTAATTGCTGAACAGGGGCCTGGGCCACAAATGCATCTGGATTCCACAGTTTTGGTCAAAAAAACTCAAACAGTTTAAGAACACAAGGTCAGCTGCAGCCTTATGGCACCATAACCACAATATTGGCAATGATAAAGTGGTAAGTGTAGGTGCCTTAACACACTCCTTTAACTTTTATTAACAAATAAAAACAAACTCAAACAATCTCACACTGGTTGCAAATGACACCTTTAATATGCTTGTGCTTAAAGGACCACTATAGTGCCAGGAAAACATACTCGTTTTCCTGGCACTATAGTACCCTGAGGGTGCCCCCACTCTCAGGGTCCCCCTCCCGCCTGGCTCTGGAAGGGGGAAAGGGGTTAAATCTTACCTTTTTCCAGAGCTGGGCGGGGAGCTCTCCTCCTCCGATCCTCCTCTTCTCCTCCCCGTCGGCTGAATGCGCACGCGCGGCAAGAGCTGCGCGCGCATTCAGCCGGTCGCATAGGAAAGCATTCATAATGCTTTCCTATGGACGCTGGCGTGCTCTCACTGTGAAAATCACAGTGAGAAGCACGCAAGCGCCTCTAGTGGCTGTCAATGAGACAGCCACTAGAGGAAATAGGGAAAGGCTTAACCCATTCATAAACATAGCAGTTTCTCTGAAACTGCTATGTTTATGAAAAAATGGGTTAACCCTAGCTGGACCTGGCACCCAGACCACTTCATTAAGCTGAAGTGGTCTGGGTGCCTAGAGTGGTCCTTTAAGCTGAAGTGGTCTGGGTGCCTAGAGTGGTCCTTTAAGATTAGTTGCAACACTAGGGATATCACCTTTTCATACTGCAAAATAGGCAGGCAGGCAGGCAAAACTGAAGAAAATAAAAACTTAAAAGAGATAAAGCCTCTCTTCATCCTCCACTTAATGTGAACCAAGTGCTCCGGAAGATAATCTTCCTAGCACATCCACACTCCTGAAGAATCTACTCTACACCTAATCCCTGGCCAGGATTATCTTCTGGAAAATTTACTTCACATCAGATCCCTGGTGGGAATCGTACAACCCAAGTGTTATAATTTGTGAGGTGGTGCTGCTCTACCAAATGTGAGTAAGTTACCATTTTTATTTCTTTGTATCTGATTTTATCACATTTAGCACTATTATTTGCTTTTATATTGTACTCCTTATATTTATCTGGATGCTAAGAGACTAACCCTAAAGAGCTACAGCTCTATCAAATCCGAGTGAGATTCCACATGTCCTTGTTGTGAGTCCTAATAATAGACTATCGTCACGTTTTTTGTTATTTTCGGTTTTATTTATATCACTATCTGAAGCCACGAAGATTTCCAGCCAGAAACTTTCCAAGAACTATGCTGACGTGTTGGGACTTATACGCAGTATTTGGCACATCCTGTTATTCTTTGTGTTTTGCCAAGTTCATGGATAATTCTTTTCTAGACGGATCTTTCTTGACATGATGGGAGATTGAACTGTGGAACAAAAGAACCCACTTCGAATCTCGAGTAGTCTTCCCCCAGTCTTGGCATTAGAATATTAATCCCTTTGCTTTCCCACAAACTTGCCTTTATTATTCTTCTAATCCAATGATGGCTAACCTTGACACTATAAATTGTTTCTGGACTACATTTCCCATGATGCTCAGCTAGCTTTTAGTCCAGAAACAATTTATGGTGTCAAGGTTAGCCATCACTGTTCTGATCAAAAGACTGTATGTAAGCGTTGTGTGAACTAGTCCTGCAAAAGGAATCTCTATAAGATTATCTGGTTTTTACTGAAAATTCTCTTGTGCCAATGATCTCATTTTTTTTTTTTTTTTTTTTTACCTTCCGGCATCTGTTTTAGAAGATCATCTCTTTGAGACCCAGACACACTCCACTCTTTGAATGTCATATTAAATTATGAGTTTTTGCATGCAGACCATCCTCTCAGCCAGACTACCCTTCTTGCTACTGTAGAAGGAAGTAGTAGAGGAAAAAGAAGGATTTACATTTTCTTAGATTTGCTAAGGTCTAGATTAACGTCCATACACAATGAAATGCAAAATCCTCGTCAGAATCTTCAGAAGAAGAAATACCTGAGGAATCGGTACTGGAGTCCAAAGATTCTTCCCATTTACACTTATTTTTCTGAGTGGGTCTTAAGTCCGATTCAGGGGTTAAAGATGACTGAGCTGCTTGAATAGCTGATTCCCTTATCTCATCAAAACTTTGTGGGAGACTGGACCAGAACCAAGACAGAATGCAGAGGAAACCTCCGTTTTCTTAGACTCTTCCTTTGCCTCTTTCAAACAAATATTACAGATTTTCTCTTTATACTTATCAGGCATAAGCTCACTGCAGGATGCGCGGATAACGTCCCTGGACTTGGATAGACATTTTCCTTTTTCTACAGGTTTCTCAGGGGTTTCAGGATTAGAAATTCTAGAAAGAAAAATACTGAAACAGGGAACAAGAGGCCTAAAACAAAAGTAAAAAGTCTTACCTTGTTTGCCCTCTGGGTTTGCTGAGCACTTCTACAACAGAGCTGAACAGCATCTGGCTGCCAAGTAGTTGTGGCAGAGTATATAAAGTCTCCAAGGCTTTTTTGTCTTAAAGGACCACTATAGCTCAATGAAGTGGTCTGGGTGCCAGGTCCCCCAGGTTTAACCCTGCAGGTGTAAACATAGTTTTAGAGAAACTGCAATGTTTACACTAGGGTTAAAGGACCACTTCGGCTTAATGAAGTGGTCTGGGTGCCAGGTCCAGCTAGGTTTAACCCTTTTTTCTATGAAAAAACGGTGCTTCCGTGTGAGAAGACGCATCCATAGGAAAGCATTCAGAATGCTTTCCTATGGACTGGCTGAATGCGCGCGATGCTCCTGCCGCGCATGCTAACTCAGCTGAAGAGGAGGCGGAGTGCTCCCCACCCGGCGCTGGAGAAAGAGGTAAGCTTAACCCCTTCCTCCCCCTAGAGCCCGGCAGGAGGGGGACCCTGAGACACCCTCAGGGCACTATAGTGGTCCTTTAATCCAGCCTCTAGTGGCTGTCTCACTGACAGCCACTAGAGGCCCTTCCGCGCTTCTCACTGTGAAAATCACAGTGAGAAGACGCTGGACGTCCATAGGAAAGCATTGAGAAATGCTTTCCTATGGGCTGTTTGAATGCGTGCTGGCTCTTGCCGCGCATACGCATTCAGCACTTACGTGGGTAGGAGGAGGAGAGTTCCCCAGCGCTGTGGGAGCCCGGTGCTGGAGAAAGGTAAGTGTTTAACCCCTTCAGCCCAGCAGGAGTGGGACCCCGAGGGTGGGGGGGACCTAAAGACCCTATAGTGCCAGGAAAACGAGTTTGTTTTACTAGCACTATAGTGTTCCTTTAATGTGTCCGCCGTCTGTTGGTAGAACGCAATGCAACCTGTAAATACATCACACCTGAAGAGTCTTTCAGCGGTGTACCTGTGTGCATACACACACCACTTCCGGGACACGGCACAGACCCTGTGGATCTT